TTTAAATAATTCTACACACACGTACTTAAAAAAATCCATATGGTTACAGAAGCACAAAAGATTAGTAGTAGTCCCTCATAAGGGTGTGCTCTCTATTGTTTCAGCAGCTGCACCTGGAATACATGTTGACTATTTCTATTCTTAGCTATCAAAATACAACTCTGAACAATCTTGCATACATTAATTGGTTTGAGGTTTACCCATTGGGTATGTTCCTACTGCTCAAATTGCTAGGTTAAGATGTATATATTTTTTTAATTTAGAAAACTAGGGCCAGATTTCCTTCTAGAAAAGTTGTATCAATTTACACTACCAAAAAAAGTTTATTAGAGTGCTTATTTCCTCACATACTACCAGCACTTTGCTTCATTAAACTAGGACTTCCATTTTAAAGTACTATCAATTCATTTATTTTTGCCTTCTCTTATAAGTTTATTGTTTTTTTATTTTTATTTTACATTTAAATCATTGTGCTATGCAAAATTTATTTGAATGTAAGAAGTGTATGGAGCCAAGAATAATGGGAACTGCCTCATTCTGAACCTGCCCATACATGCTCCATACTTCTTAGATCCTGTGAAGCCCTGGAAAAAATTATTATCTGCATTATCCAGTCCTTTCCACTTTGGTTGCAGGAGATCTCCCACATTATTCATACAATAACAAATTCCCTAAGTCTACGTAGAGGATCATCACACTGAGCAGCACCTCTTCCTCTCCAAATTATAGTTCGCTGTGCATGATCATCTTAAAGTTTACAAAATTTTACAAAATATTTGACTTTGACAACATTTACATAAAAAATATTCCAGATGATCCCATTTTACATCAACTTGTCAGCTACTCAATGGTTAAGCTAGTGGTTAAATTATCCCATTAAGCCCATTAGTTTTTTATTAATATCACTAAAGTAGTCATACTGAGATATCAGTTGTTTACACTAAAAAATTTACAGCTTCTAAGCACTCTTGTGGTGTGGTTTAAAGGTATTTAAATTAAGATTTAAATACACCTGCATTAGTATCTATCTCCACCACCCAACCAGCTATACAATGAAGTCATGAAAATCATCAATTTCTGTTTCCTCATTTGTAAAATGATGATCACAAGGATGATATACGAGAACATGAGATAATAGAATTTGAAACATCTAGTCTAGTGCCTCAGAAATAGTAGTCACTCAGAAAGTGTGACCATAATTATAATTATCTTAATTATGATAAATATATAATAAATGTTGGCTCATTCGCAAATGCTCAAAAATTATTTTAAGAAAAATACTTTTTTCTATAAGAATGTACTTATTCCTCCCATATTGTTGCTAGTTCTGCTACTTTTAACTGATATCCAAGAGATATGGTTTGCACTTTAATCAACAATATAAAATATTAGTGCGACTGGAACTTGTTAGAGTCCAAACCTGAGTTGACTTTGATATAATTCTTGCCAAAAGCTTACTTTAGCTTTCGATTTTTTTAAAAGGAAATCTAATGGACAGATTAACTATTAATTTTTCTATATTTTTCAGGCTTTACTGTTGTATTAAGATCACTCACCAGAAAGCATAGTGCCTGGACCATATTTTATAAATTCCCCACAGAAATGCTTTTACTGAATTATGATGTAATGATTAATAATTTACAATCGGCCCTTAGCAATCTGGAAGCCATATGCAAATCCATTCCATTTGATAAGCTCTTGCATTTCTTTGTCATACCATAGAAGACAATGACCGTGATCAATTCATTCACATAGTCAATAACCCATAGTAGTTTCATTCAACATCAGAATCATCACTAAAGAAATCTTCTGGGATGACTGAGTTAAGAGAGAGAATTAGCACTGACAGAGTCAGTACTGTGGTCCAGGGGTTCTATGTATGGTCTGTTTAACTTCTATGACCTTGGAAATACATGAGGAATTTCAAAGTTTATATTTGAGGTAATATGGCTCAAGCTATGTTATGATACTTGGAAAAAATAATGTTCTCCTTGAGTCTTTTCTGCTCCAACTAAGATACCCTCCATTCTTTTAACTGGTCTATAGAAGGTATACTTTGAATCTAATTAATGTTCTGATTCTATTTGAAGACCATCCAGTTTAGGTACATGAGTTTTGTGTGGCCATGAATTACAACAGAATAGAGAAGGGCTGCCTCCTTTATATTCCTTAAATACAGATAAAGATTACATAGTTTTCTTGGTAGATACAAATCAATATTGATTTATATTGCAATTACTATTAAGTAAAACCCCTTAGAAGTTTTCTCTGCTACAAAAACGTATTTCTTCTATACAGTACTTGTGGAGATGGAATGTTTTGGTCCAAATTTCAAAACCATACATATAGTCCTATTATATTTTATTCCACTAGATTTGGCCCACTATTCTAAGACATAAAAATATTATCACAATTAAAAATTTATGTTTACTTCCTGCCTATTATGTGGCAATCACTGCACTAGGTATTTTCATCCATATTGTTTTATTTTATCCATATTTAACTCAAAGAGGAATCCCAATTTTATGACTGATTGGTTCAAGAATATTATGTAATCTGACTGAGACTTCTCAGAACGTTAGTAACAGAACTTAGCTTCTGAATGCAGGTCTATCTAATTTCGAAGTTCATGGTTTTATTTATTTTATTGGTTTATATTAGCCTACAATCATAAGTCATTCAGAAACCATTTAATTCAAGCAATTCCATGTAAGGAATTCAATTTTGAAAGTTCATTAAATATTTTAAAAGAAGATTACATATGTAAGGGCAAATTTCACTTGTCTATAATCTGTGTTTATAAATTGTACTTATCCAAAGAATTTCGACTCCCCTAAATAAAGTTGGATATGTAAGGTGTTATTATATATGTGATTGTACGTACATGGTGTATATAAATAATTCATAACAAACTTTTAATGTGTTAGCTTTGTGCATGATATTGAGCAAGATATTTGGAAAATGAGTAAATTTTAAGATAAACAATTGTTAGTTTTCATACCATTAGTCTGGAAAAAGAGCTCCAAATAGATATATGTTAATATTCCTATGCCATATTTCTCTCCTTAAAATTGCTTCACACCCCACGTTTGTAATGTCCTTTGAGGGACTTAAACATAAGAAGCCACCGCTATTATGAAAATGTCCCTCTCTCTGGTCAGGAATGACTGAATCAAGGGGAAGGAAATCTATAGGCTGGGCTAGACCAATTAAGAGTATCTTTTTATTTATAGTTTTTCAGATAGAGATTATAGGCATAGGGTAGAAACTTAAACTGAGAAATCAAATAAAGATGAGGCTGGGATGGTACTTTTTATGTGCCTTCTTAGAAATAAGCAAAGGAAGCCATATTTTAGATAGGATTCAATAAAAAAATAAATAAAAAAAATAAAGCCCAGAAAAATGTGATCCCATGGAAGACTATAAGGAGTCATCCCAGTACTTAATTTTTCATTTTTTTTCCCAGGACACAGAAATGGACTACACGTTCTGCCCTTGGAAGTCTATGAGATTGCCATTTGTATATTTAAACTATCTCCCACACGCCATTCATTTAAGTTATCGGCAGGAGTCTGGTTCTTGAAACCATTAGTACTCCATTAAGATTAATGTCTTTTCTTACTTTCCATTAATAGATAAGTAATGGTCTAAACTATTAAACAACTCAATTTCAATCAATGGTGTAAAATTCTGGTGCAAAATATGTGTGAATACATATGTGTGCAATTTCTGTTTTAGGAAAATGTTATAGAAGGAATTCAGCTAAGGCCAGCACTATAAGAGACAAAATATACTCTTTCAAAATGCCACGATATCAAGTACAGAATTTCTTATTCTTAATTGCAATACTAACATTACAAAGAGGGTTAAGGGGAATGAATAAAGAATAATTAATTGTCACTGAATAGGATCATTTGAAGAAGTAGGTTTTGACAGGAATTAGGTTGGAGAAAATCGGCAAAAGAACATATTTTTATGTGAGAAGAAAGAGCAAGGTTCACGAATGGGGAATTGATGCATAAAATTTTATTGAATGAAGACTAACATGAGTGGCCTGTAGAATGATTTGAAATAGGTAAAGACTAGAATAGAGGGAAACCTGTAAAGACTATTACAGCAACCCAGATGCAGAATTACAAAGATGACTTACCTGATGTTGATATCTAAACAATGGATAATATTTAAATACATAATGAAAAATAATTATAAAGAACATTATTCTCTTCAGCAGAATTGATACCAAAAAAATTTCATGAGTAATTTTCAAGATAATTAGTTTGTATTTGTATCTTTGTTTTCACAATGGCTAGAAGGTTAAAGAGTGATTCTAGCCATGGGGAAAAACAATAAATTTAGTTTTTTACTTAAGTTTCTGTCATTGGTGGATTAGCCACGTAGATAAGTGAGGGAAGATAGTATTTTGGGGAATGTACTTGGTAAGTATCCATGTACAGTAATTAAAACTCTGTGTTTGCCTATGCATTCAACAAGAAGAATATAACAGAGGTGGAAAGACAGAACTTTAAGGGATATCAAAGTTAAAAATTGGAAGGAAGAACTGAGTCAAAGGAAGTTATCAGAGCTATAAGAAGAGTGAAACCCAGAGCCAATGAAAACTGTGTTTAGGGAAATAAATCTAGTCAATGTTTAAATGCAAATGAGGGCGAAATAATTGTATTTTCCCATATCCCACCCCTCTCCCCAAAATCTCTCACTACTTTAGAACTCTTTCATTATAAGGGAGAAATGGAAAGGAAGATTTCAGTAAAAGAAAAAGATTCAATAGATAAGTAAATGAAAGAGTGAATTACTCATGACATTACAGATTAAGGCTAATATTAAATTTAACAAAACCTAGTTTAACAATTCAAGTTTCTACAAAACTCAGGAATCTTCTTTGAATGCATGTATTCAGTTTGCTATTCTCTTTTATTCATACCCTAAGCTTTCGTAATTTAAATTTTATAAAGAACTAAAAAAAAAAAATACATTTCTTGCAGGGGCAAAATTGAAAATGGCTTCCCCAGAACCTATGAGCCTTGTCCCTTTCACCAGAGAGTCTCTTGAACTTATGGAACAGCGTATCGCTAAAAAACACAATGAGGATCAGCAAGAAGATTTAAAGCCAAATACTGACTTGGAAGTTGGAAAAGAGCTTCCATTCATTTATGGAAATCTTCTTCAAGGAATGGTGTCAGAGCCCTTGGAAGATGTGGATCCATACTACCAGAATAAAAATGTAAGGATTAATTGAATTTATTATGTCTATATTTTTATTAGACATGCAGAAATTTAATGAAGATAGGATAAAAAGAGAGAATAAAGAATAAATTAAGAGGTAATCTTGTTATAGAAAACTGCATAACGAATTTCACACGTATTTGAGATTTTTATCTAAAATGCTAAAAAATTTTGCCTAGTTAGTTTGGGGTTACTTTATTTTGTGATAGGCTATACTGTTATGCCTTAATATGATGATTTGTTTTGTGGGAGTATGATGATTGGCTACTTAAGGTAATCAATTTTAAAACAACTATAATATAAAATTTCCATTATATTGTACATAATTTCCATTATATTGAACATAATTTCAAATGTTCAACTGAGGAGCTCCCTGAGTAGTTAAGAAAATGAAGCCAAACTAAATTTTATTTGTCATTTTTGTTCATTCATACATTCATATCCCATCTTTTCTCCACAGTGACTTGACGAATCTACTAAATATTTGAATAATCTAAGAACAAACACAAAATCGTAAAAAAAATAAGAATAATTATGTTTAAGAAAGGCAGAGATCTGTGTGGACTGACAGAACTGGAAGGATCTTCATTAAGGAAATAAAATTTGAGTTATAGCTTAGAGCAGTGGTCTCCACCCTTTTTGGCTCCAAGGACTGGAGGGCCTATGAGAATCTAATGCTTGATGATCTGAGGTAGAGATGAGGCAGTGATGCTAGATGCTAGCACTGGAGAGTGGCTGCAAATACAAATGAAGCTTTGCTCTCTGCCCACCGCTTACCTCCTGCTGTGTGGCCCGGTTTTTCCTAATAGCCACATCTAGGAACCAGACTCTGCTAGGGGTTAGTGACCCCTGGCTTAGAGAACACTTCAAATTTTAAAAGCAAAGGGAAAATCTTCTATGAACACTCAAGAGCCGAAGTTAATTCTGGAATAGAGAAGAGCAGGGTGATGATAGAATTGAAACCCTTGCAGCTATGTTGCATATTGTGGGAAATAAAATGCAGTAATGGAGATGTCAACATGGATTTAATGTGATGGCCAAAAGACAGATGTGATGAATGAAATATTTAAGTAAGGTTAATCTGGAGATTTCTTAATTACTATTTCATGGAAGAGATAGGATCAGAAAAATGAAATAGGAGAAAAAGTAACCCAGGCTTGAAATAAAACTGAGAACAGGAGGATTTCAAGACCGACTAATAATGCCAAAATTTCCAGCCTGGAAGAATAGTGGTGCTACTGACAAAAATGAAATAACTACAGAAAAAAAAAGATTAAGTTTGGGGGAGATGAGGATTACTTCCATTGTGGACAAATATAATGTAAAACTCTTGTAGAGCATTTAATGATATTAACAAATGGGTGAAATGCAATTGAACAAAAACTCTGGATGGAAGGCAAAATGATCATCGTGTAAACACAACTCTTTTGAATACTTTGCCTTGTGGAAGAATATTGGCATTTTACAGTGTAAATGTATATATTAACAAAAAGACTCCAGAATCTCTGGTAGCCTCCATGGACATTTTGCAACATTAGCTATAAAACACCTGTAAAATCTTGAAAACGTATTAGTGAAAATTTAAGTCCTTATCTCAATTATCTATGCTTTCAGTTTTTGCTATGCTTAAGTCATAACAGTTGATATAACACAGTAACCTTAAAGACAACTCTAATATAGCAGAATTCTGAGTTCTTTGTAGTATATAAAGAGTGGTAGGCAGATCTAGGTTTGTTACTGAAGGAAAAAACACACAAATATTTTGAAAGATAAACCAAGCTAAAAACTGCAGAGATAGCTTAGTACAGTATATGTACTAAGCTAGCTTAGTAAAGTATATGTAGTTAATGATGACACAGTTATTAAAATTTTGGATTATATTCTATTCTGTTAAAGGAGGAATATAAATTAACAATTGTAAAATTAAATAAACATTTTAACACTTAAACATTAACTGGAAAATTATTACATCTGTACCTACTGTTTTACAATGATATATAAGCTGGTTGATTGTATGTACATCTTCTGTGAAGTTTAACATTGTTCTGGAAAATACACAGAAAGCACATTCTAAATAATCAGATCTATTTTCTTTGGTCCTATTAATTTTCTCTTTGCATTTAAAATAGAAATATGAAAATAATTACGTGATAGGCCAAATGTGCACAGATTGTATTTTGGAAAAGTTACTTATTGAGGAAAATTATAGCACAGTTTGATTTTCATTTAGAACATGTATTCAAAAAATATGGACAAATATATATTTATGTCCAGTAATATATTTGGCAATATATACAAATATCAATACCGATATGTGGTTACCATATATGCCTCTGCGTAATTATATAATTATACATTATGTATAATTATGTAATTATACATTACATAATACTATAGTATATGAGATTATATTTAATACATGTCATTTTAGTATATTATAGTATAGTGTATTATATGACATTATATACTATATTATAATTATATAATATTCAGTATTATGAATTTATGCACATACCATAATACATTATTTAATATAATATTTAGTATATTATAGTATATTGTATTATATGACATTATATACTATATTATAATTATATAATATTCAGTATTATGAATTTATGCACATGCCATAATAAATTATTTTTCCAAATAGATATGTATATATGTATGTGTGTATATGTGTATCTACATCTACACAGACATACACACTATATGTGTGTACAATATATGTGTACACACATTTTCACTGTGTGTACACATATATTGTAGATAAATACACATATACACACATACATAAATATGACTCATTTTTAGGATATTTTTGATCTTTCATTATTTTGGGTTTTAATGCTTCTATGTCTCAACATATTATTTTTACACGATGTAATATATGTTTATGTCAATTATAACATACAAGCAGGGTTTTATACCAGAAAACTGGTAATGATTAACATAATGTTTCAGTGCATTGTTATTTTTACTATTGTATTCTGCACCTTACTTACTTTAAAATAAAATTAACTTTTATTTACATTTATCTAATTCTTGTATATTTAAATGCATCACCACAAATCTTTAGGATACAGTTTTCTTTCTATTAGTTCTGCAAGAATACTTGGGATTGGTATGTGGCAAATGGCTTTCTTAGGTAGAACACTGGCCAAAAAAAAAAAAATAGTGGTAAGATAAGCCTAAATATCAGTGAAACGAGTTTTTAAAAGGACTATTTAATTTCATTTGTAAAAGACTATCAAAATATAAGAAATGTATAACTGTTGAATTCATGGCTGAAATGAACAATGGCAATATGTTACATAATTGGTTTTAGTTCGTAGTTTTAATTTCACTTGATGCTCTTTTTCACCTTACAGACTTTCATTGTAATAAATAAAAAGAGAACAATCTTCAGATTCAATGCTACCTGGTGTACATTGTCTCCTTTCAATTCAATTAGAAAAACAACTATTAAGATGTTGGTACATCCATATCCTTTTTTATTGGCTTTAGACTGTACTAATATCAAATGCAACAATTGGATTCAAATATTGCTGCAGTTTTTTTTATCTTTTGAATTGATATAGCATTTTAGGTCATATTGAAATCTGGATTATAACTGCACTGTGTTCCATTTCTGAGAATACATTTAAATATATTTTCTAGTATGCACAGTAGTGGTAAATATTAACAAATCTTAATCTTAATTGTTTTTAATATGAATAGTATATATATTTGACATTAAGAAACTTTTATTTCATATGTGTATATATATATAAACAGATTTTAGAGCATATTTCCAATATTATTTATTATCTATTATTCCTTGACTGTAACCTACCTTTTTCCGGCTGTTCATTTTAATGACTGTCCTGACTGACTGCATATATATGTCCATGACTGATTTGCCAAAATGGGGGCCAGCATTACAGTAAGTTATATGATTATGTATAATCTCATGTAAGATTATACTTTATATTTAACATATATTTAACATATGGTATTACAGTACATTATATACTATATATTATAACATCATGTAATTTAATATTTATATTTTATATATAATATACTGTTTGTTGTATGTAATGTAATATTTATACACATACCATGATTAATGAATTTTCCAAATAGAAACAAATATATATATATAACAATCAGTTTTAATGTTTTTCTGCACTTTCATTATCCTTAGTTAGATTTTAAATGCTTCTATTTTCCAACCTGTTAAGTTAACATTATGCAAATGTTTGAGTCTTTAGCTATGTGTTTATGTCTGTGGTATCATACAAATGAGGTTCTTTTTTAAAGTTAATTACTAATGATTAATATGTCGATGCCTCAGATTACTATTGCTATCTCACACCTGATTTGCTTCAAACTCAAATAACATTTCTTTCCATTCAGTAAGAAAGTTATTTCTTTTTCTTCCTTTCTGTTCTACTTCTTTTCTCTTTCCTGAGGGATATGAGTAGTTTCACTTGCATTAGACTACAGAGGTAGAAAGGTCCATTAAATTTTCTAGGAATAAAGGTTTTCTTGATGCTGTCTCTCAAGTTTAATCATTCTTAAAACTAATTGACTTTAGAAGGTAAATATTATACTCATTGACCATAAAAATCTTTGTATATGCATATAATAAAATTAATTCTTTCACATGCTTTTACAATTCAATTAATTATTGTGTGATTCTCAATATGGAATAAACTTGATACTTTCATCAAGGACTCGTTGAAAAAACTGATAGTCAAATTTCATGGTTAATGCCATCAGACATAGTCCGCCCTAGAAGCCCTATCTAAAGCCCTATCCTATAGTTTAAGGGACACATGCTTTTTTGATTGTTGTCTGGTGGTTGATTTGTTGTTGGTTGATTGGTTGCCAAATAGTTATCACAGACATTGTATTTCAGAGCTGACAACGTATTATTTTCACTTTTAATGTATATGTGAAAATTTTTCTGCAGGAATACTTTGCTTGGAATTTACACACTTGAAATACTTATAAAACTTACTGCAAGAGGCATCTGGGCAGGACCTTTTTATTTCTTTGGTGATCCGTGGAACTGGCTTGATTTCACTGTAACTTTGTTTGAGTGAGTGTTTCTTTAAGTTACGAAAATCTTGATACCTTTCTAAGCAAATGCTTTTCATAAAAAATATTGAGGATAACAAAATTTTCTGCCTGCAAAAATTTGAAAATAAAGAATATTTCATAAATTACAGTTAAAATGAGTTCTCTTAGGTAACTCCTACTGAGCTAGTCCTTGGAATAGGCAATAAAAATTAAAGGAATGGGGTATTATTTCTGTTTTCTATATGAAGCAAAGATGATAGGGGTAGAATATTTGCTTTTAAAGTTATTATTTTCAGTGAGCAGAAAATCTGGAGACTTATGTATTTATTTTTTCAATGCGTCTGTTTAGTGTACTCTGTGTTATGACTGAAGAAATGATTGCTGGCATTAAATTCCTGTTAAAGTAATTTAAAATTGATATTCTATTTATAGACTTCAGTTTAAATTAAAAACAATAATCTTTATAAAGGTCAGTAATCAGTGTCTGCAATGTTGTAAGCAATCAAAAAATAGTAGCTAATATCATTATAATTATTATCATTGCTATCACTACTGTTTCTGTTATTTGTCATTATTTCTGGTATTGCTGTTATCAAACACTTAGCTAATACAGCTAACACTTTCATAGCTCTTAGTACGTGCCAGATGTTCTTCTAAGTGGACCTTGTCCATAGGCAATCTGGATAAAGAGTCTGTGCTCTTAACCACTATGCACCTTGACTTCTGCTATCATCACCATTACCATTATCATCATCATCATCATCATCATTATCACTATCATCAAAATCACCACCACCATCATCTAAAGTTTAAATCCTTAAAAAGGAGCTTATTCCTTTAAAAAAACTATGAATTTTAAATTTCTTTTTATTAGATAACAAAATATTTATAAACATGATATACAGTATTTGATATGGAATTAAGAGTACTCACAGTGTCAAAATTTTATAAATGTTCATAATTTGTGGATTAATATTTTCCTGGCTACTTTGCATTTGTAGCAATCTTTATCTTCCAATCAGTAATAAAATTATTTGCAAATGAAATAAGGAGAGCAATGGAATTATAATGAAATAATAATTACCATCTATAATAATAATAATGGATATATGGTTTTAAAAATAAGTTTCAAAGAATATAAAAAGGCAAAGAGAAGTAGCACAGACTCAATGTGACTTCTAAATAACTCTTAACTAATTCCACAGGCACGTAACAAGCTATTCGCCTCTAAACTTCGTTTCAACATTTAGAATTGCAAGAAATTTGAGAATTTTGAAAATTATCCCTTTAAACCAAGGTAAGTAATGGCACTGAATTTTTTCTTTTTGTTTTTTTTTTGTTTGTTTTTATGTACTCCCATATATTCACTTGAACTCCTCTGTTATTATTTGAAGATATATAAATTGAGTAGTGGTTCAGCTTTGAAATCAATGAATTATCTGATCTTGAAATTTACTTCTGCCACTATAGGAAAGGCAAGAAAAAATAGCACATTTGACTGTTATTTATTTATATAGAGATGAGTTTACTACTTGCGACAAAACGCAGAGATTAATCAAAAATCTTTTTCTATTTTTTTATTTATTTTTATATCTTAAATATGAACTTTTATAAAATTGTTCCTAGACTTCTAAGAGAGATAACAGTTTACACAGATATCTAATTTACTTTCTTCTTTTCCTTATTGCATCTAAAATCCAGATGAAATGAACAAAGTAATATAAAATAAAATACATTCCCTTTTGCTCTGAGTGCTTAGATAGGGTGCATTCCATATGCCACAAAGTTCAATGAAATTATGCTAAATAAGGTTGTGACTATGTTGATGGAAGATGCTGAGGACTACTTATAGCTCTCATTCTTGAAGATATCTTAAAAAGCCCACCAATACCTAACTTGTTATTCAAAATTAATAAAAACAGTCAGATAGGAACAGCTCCACCCAGAGTTCTTTTGGCTGCTATGAGTCAGAATATTATGAAATAGTTGGGTCAATAAACCCAGGGGAAAGTGTGATAATACCAAAAGTAAGATCTTATATGGTGAAATTATAGTAGATACAGTTTCATTTTTGATGTAGAGAGTACATTTGTTCAAAATAAGAACTTAAGTTTGATACAGTTTCTCAAATTAGATTTATTTTATCTAAAATATTAGATGAAAAAAAGTAAGAAATTAAATCAGAAATAAACTCCACAAGAAATATACCTGAACTAAAACAAAATGAAAGTTTAAAAAATAAAAAGAAAGGGAATGTCATACTAGGAAATCAGAATCAAAATTGGCATATGGTTCAGAACTTTGAATGGTAGATAACAATGAAAATTATTAATAAATTTGATTCTGTAAAATTGGATGGTGACTTTTTTACCTTCAAACAAAATGTCACCACTTAAATTAAAACTCACAAAAAATTTGCTTTATATGTATATATGTGTGTGTATGTACATATACATATATATACACACATATTCTTATTTAAGAATTGCCACTCTTAAAAATAATTTCAACAAAACAATATGACAAAAATTTCCAGTACAATAATATTTAGAGAACTCATGATAGTTACCAAATAAAAAGTAGACAGTGAAAATATACATATTTTTAAAGTTTGTTATGGTAATCAGAAATTACATCAAAATACAGTGATTCAATTTTTTTCTAATAAATTGAAAATAATGCTTTCTTAAAAATCTTTCGTTTTTAATGAGGCATGACTATATACATGTAGTAGTCTGATTTATACATTGTTTTAACAGCTGTTAAAAGAAATTTGAATATATCTATCAATACATAAATGTGGTCATATATTTTGACACAGAAATTCCATTTCTAATATAACACTTAAAAAAGACTAGCATATAGCAAAAAAAAAAAAATTAATGGCATAATTCCAAGTGGCAAAAGTAGGCTGTAAGCATGTATTTTAATATTATTAATTTAAATTGAATATTTAATCTAGATATCACATTTTTTTAACCACAGGAATAACTTTATTTCAACCCTATTCTTTTATACTCAAGACATCCAATCATCCGAGGAAGTCATTTAAAAAAGAGATTTGGAATAATCACAGTAATATATGAAATATAGGTATTATTATCCTCATTTTAAAGATAATAAAATGGAGGCATAGAAATATTGATAATTTGCTCAATATCACAGAGCTGGTGTGTTCTCATCCATTTTTGAGCTGAGCAGTTATTAGGATCCTAAATATAAACAGACCAACAAATAAGAGAGAAAGGGAAAAAGAAAGGAAGAAAGGGATAAAGGAAGGAAGAAAGGAGGGTAGGAATGAAAGGAATAAGGAAGGGAGGACAGAAGGAAGGAAGGAAGGAAGGAAGGGAAGAAGGGAGGAAGAGAGGAAGCGAGGGAGGGAGGGAGGACGGAAGGAAGATAGGTAAGTAGGTTATAGTTTCATCTATGAAGTACAATTACATTTTTTTTTTGTCTCTTATTTTCTGTTTTCAGAATTAGGCATGTATTTAATAATTAGAAAAATGAATGTGCTTAAATAAACCCAACTTTAAGTTTGAATTCTCAATTAGTAAGTACTCTAAGTACAACCTGCATATATCGCAGTTGTGTATTATTCTCATTTCTAATCATTATTTTTTTCACATTTTATTTAATCGGCTTCCAAAATTGAATTCTTAATAAGTTAAAGAACAGTATAGAATACTGCTATTTCAAACTATTTTTGTTTCAACAACATCTACAACTCGTTTTCATTTATAACTCTATACCTGTACTTGACTTATAAACAAAGGTGAATGGTGTGAAAAGCAGTAACCAAGAGCAAAAATTAGTCAATTTAAAATTTGACTAATTTTAAATTGACTAATTTTAAAATTAGTCAAACAAATGTATGACTAATTTTAAAATATATTGTATCTGAATTATTTTGTCAGGTGTAATAATTAGCATAATACAGAAACCTCAAAGATTGAGTTTTTATTCATTTTATTTATTAGATCTAGATAATGATGAATTAGATTATAAAACACAAAGCTACCAATTAACGATGGATTATGCACTTGCCATGGGAGAAGTTTGTAATGCTACTTTACTAAGATATTTTATTTGATCAAAATAAACCTTTTTCTTTTCAGGCCTGAAGACTTATCTAGGGATCCTGCTCCATTGTTTGAAAAAACTTGCTGGTGTCATTATCCTTACTCTGTTTTTTCTGAATGTATTTTCTCTAATTGGGATGGGGCTCTTCATGGGCAACCTGAAGCATAAATGTTTGCGATGGCCCCAAGAAAATGAAACTGAAACCCTATACAACAAAACTAGAAACCCACATTATCTTCGAGGTAAGAATCACTTGCCATCTATGTCAAAAATTAAAATTTTTCTTAATGAGAGATTAGTCTTCACAGAAACATGAACTGTCAACTTCAGAACAAATTCGACTTTAGATTGTAAATGTAAATGCTGTAACTATGCTCAAGGACTAATTTGGATGTTTCATTTGTCAGGATAGCAAAGTTCAAAGCTTTAGACATTTAGATAAGGGAAACCTAAGTTCGGAATTGCTAAATTTTATTTTTTTAAATAAATAAATACGATCAGTCTTATTTGCAATTTCATCAGAGTAGAATTCTTATAATACTACCTTTCTTTAATAAAGTCATTTATTTAAAATATAAATTTAAGTTTACTCATTAGAAACTTTGTGATGACCTTACAAATGAAAAATATGACCTACAAATTCTTACTCTTGTTTCAATTACTGCTGTTCATTTTAAATACTTTGAGTTATCCTTTACTAAATAATGAAAATATGTTAGGCTAATAGAAATAATGCCAAATAGGTATCGCTTAACTCTTATGTATAAGTAATTTACATGCTTGATCATATATCTTCACCATAATCCTGCAGAAGAAACATAAATAATCCCTGTTACAAACAAGGAAACAGAAGTTCAGAGAAATTTAGAATGTTCCAGTGTACTGCAACTACTTGGTGGCAAAATTAGAATTCTAATGAAGCTCGATCTGGTTTTAGAAGCTTTCTCTTTTTCCCAGACCATACTCTTATTGGATTTTTCTCTCATATTTAAATTATCATGTCCTTTCTGACAGTATTTAGAAAAAAATAAAAGCACATTTTTTAACTAATAAAATTTAAATGTTGATAAATCTTATGTAGTCCTATATTAGTTATATTTGTACTTTAGATTTAACAAGTTCTAAAACAAATCAATAAATTTTATTCTTTGGTTTGCCCTGGAATATAATTATGATGCAAGTAATACAAAATTATTAGTATGTGAGTATGTGAAATGTTTGCTGTTATATGTGTCTGTTTCAAGGTCTCAGTTTTAGTGGTAAGGACTACAGGAGATAGATATTAGATTCCAATTGAAATACCCTTTGGTTTCTTTGACATTGTAACAAAAATATGCTAATTCCTTTAAAAATAAACAATTTTTGCTATTTCACAGTTTTTTGTTAAGAAAACAGAGTCCAGGTTCTTTTCATCTTTGTTAATGTATAATATTATAAAGAAATCACTTTTGAAAGATTACCACTTTCAAATTTGTTCCATTCTAGCCATTCCATTTCAAATATCATGTTAGGAATTGCTGAAAATATTACATTTGTACAACATTATTTAACCTAATTGCTATGTCATAGTCCTTCTATTTAGAAGAGTACTTGAGACTGCCCAGTTCTACTAATGTCAAATTTCATTTGGTTTTTGACTGCCATTCAAAAGATTTGATCAGTGATTCTTAACTATTTATGATTTAAAAATTCTTCTAAAATTATTTTGGGTGACAAATTAAAGTGACATTATTTGAGACTGGAGAAATTAAATTTTGTATATATAATATACATACAAATTTAAATATGTTTATATGTATATATGTACTCACATATACACTGAGGACTGCTTTCTGTGATTTGAATTCAGAACCTAAAAAACTATGCTCCTAAGCATACATGTTCACAACCTTGGTAACTGGTATCTGTAAATACACAATTTACATTTTGATTAACAGCAAGTAAGGATACCTGGATAAATTATATGGGCTATGACTCAGATCGACTTGGGTTGTAGTCAAAATTAGATGACATCAGGAAAGGAACTAGCACTGGATGATCAATGTAGAACTGGATGATCACTGGATGATCAATGTAGCTTCGAAGTGGAAAGAGAATGGAAATTAAACCCAGAGACAGAAAACTCCAATCTTCTGCTCAGGAAGATCATCAGGAATAAACCCTGGAAGAAAAGGTGCTCAGCCTTCAAAAAGATTAGTTTGGGAATTCTTCCTTTAGGGGTCTAGTCATACCTGGCTGGTTATGTTTATTTTCCCGAACTCTAATTTCGAGAAGGATTCTCTTCTTTCTATGCTGAGTTTTGTCACTTTCAGGGCAATGAAGTAGATAGATTGCCAGAGGTCTTTTGACCTGTGCATAAGATGCTAGAACAGCCTCCTAGATTAAAAAGGCCAGGCTATAGCCTCATTCCTAAGTATAGAGAGGGGTGTTCATCTTCTGTACAGGGTTAAATGGATTTCAGCTATGCTATTCACTCAAGATTTCTTATAGAATATTATTTCTTTCCTATTTTTCAGAAATAGAAAACTTCTATCATTTGGAAGGAGAAAGATATGCTCTCCTTTGTGGCAACAGAACAGATGCTGGGTAAGTGATGTTAATGTTTCCTTCTATTAAGTCAATATCACCAGATCAGTAGTATTTATTGAATAATTATTGTTTTTACTGATGGTTCCCATTTGATTACATTATTTCATTTTATCATCGAAACCATGTTGAGAAATGTACAGTATGGAATATTATTAATCCAATCTTACCATAAAAAAAAAAACAATAGACAGACTAGCTAAATGATTTATTCAAGGTCAAAAGGCTAGTAAAATGACAGATGGTCTATATTTATGATTTGGCTGTTATCTGAAAGTCACCTAAGAGTAAGCAATTTTTCTTTTCTTTGTCTTTTTTAGTCAGTGTCCTGAAGGATATGTGTGTGTAAAAGCTGGCACAAATCCTGATGATGGCTACACAAATTTTGACAATTTTGGCTGGGCTTTATTAGCTCTATTCCGGTTAATGACACAGGATTACCCTGAAGCACTTTATCACCAGGTAAGAACAGAGAAAATCTGCTGTGTAAGAATGATACCATGCTCCATGCTCCTCCCTTCTAAAATAATGGTCAAATATAATGTAATACATCACATGTTTATGTGAAGAAAATTTGAAGACAGAAAGGGAACCAGAATTATTAAATGTCAGACTATATCCTAACACTGTGCCGAAGTCTGTGCTCTTATGTATGATATCTCATTTAATCTTTAAAACAATTCTACATGATTTTATATGAAGACACTAAGATCAAAATGACTGAGTAACCTCCCTAAAATTATATAGATGTGCTGGAGATCACTGTCTTGCTCTGTCTGATATCATATATTTGATATTAACTAAGTTAAGAATTTTTCTAGGTACAAATTCTTTAGTCAAAAATTTTAACCTTTGAGATTACCAAGTATTAAACAATTGTTTATTGAATACCTACAATGTGCTATTTCTTTTCAATTCTTCTATTTTTTTATACCTCTTTATTATTCAATCATGCTTCAGTTGTAACAGAAAACTTATTGTTATGAGACTGAAATCCAAATCCTGAGATTTGGATTTCAGTCTCATAACAATAAGTCTGTCTATCTTTATAATTGAGAGTCTGTCTATCTTTATAATTGATGATTTGTGTATTATAGTTTCTCAGAAAGATGTAATATTAAAATGGAGTTTCAGTTTTTCTTTTAAGAAAAGTTTTATCACAGTAGAATATATAATGCTGTGTTAGCAGCACAGTTAATATCAAGTGATAGATAAAATAAACAAATAACTTATATTCCAAAAGTAGTTACAGTTGAAGACCAGTCTTTTTTAAAACACACACATACCCCATAGTTTTTATGATTGGATAGATAAATTATTGTGTGTGTGTGTGTGTGTATGTATACAACCCATTAATAATGATGGGATAATGTAATATACTTTTGGCACAAAGGTTCATAATCTATTATTAAATAAAAATCAAGTGAACCATAGATGTAATATAATTATATTTCTAGTTAAAGTACATGAAAATATTACAAATAACATTTTTCTTTATGCAAACTATATTTTTCTAATTTTTTAAGTTTAGCATTTATATTATTATTTTTGAAAGTATGTAAATTATACCATAAAGAACATAGTCAATAATGTTGTAATAACTATGTATGGTATCAGATGCTTACTAGATTTATCTGGGTGATCACTTCATAAGTTCTATAAATTCCTAATCACTGTTGTACACCTGAAACTAATATAATATTGTATATCAACTGCAATTGAAAAGTTAAAAAATTAAAAAAAAAAAATTCGAGCAAGCATTAATGCCTTCTCCGCAATACTAGGAACTTATTTCCAAAATAATCTTATTGTGTTATCCTCCTTCGAAAATGCTTCAGAGGTTTCCATATTCCTGTAGAATGAAGTTCAAAGTCCATATGCCTGATACATAGAACCCTTTAAAATCTAGTTTCTGCATGCTTCTCCAGATTTATTTCCTAACAATATTCCAATATATACTTTTTGCTTCATTCCAGTGTAAAAAAGACTTGCTTTTTCTTACATGAGTTTATCCCCTAATTTCTTGTTTCAATCTATGTTGAAAATAATCTAATGTACTCTCTGCCTAAATTCAAATTTCATTTTGTCTTTCGTCTCACATCTCAAATTCATGCCTAAAAGCCAAATTTGTTCCTTGAGGTTTTCTCCAAGCTCTTCTTTCAGAGTTAGGCATATCCTACACCACAATTCCACAGTATCCTGTAATTGCCTCTGATTGTGGTTATTCTAATTATTTGTTCAGCAATTCTTTCCACTAGGAGACAAACTACCTAAAAAGATGTATTTTGTTTTATTTTAATTTTGTGTTCTCAGCATGTAACACATAGAAGTACTTAATAAACAAAAATATAAGTGAATATTTACGGATTATATCACTTTATAGATTAATAAATGTCTTGCCTTTTTTTACAGCTCTCTGTGTGTTAGCTAATTTTCTTGTTAGCATTGGTTTAAAGCAAATTCTTTTTCACTATCACCGAAATGAGTAATCAGTCTGGGAATGCCCTAGTGTTGGAGTCCATACAGTACCTCATCATTATTACACTCTAAATTTTATTGACTAGTGTAGATAAGATTTTCTTTGATTTAGACTGGATTTATATTGAGCATTGTCCTAAACTAAACTGACTATGGATAGGGAAATTCAGTGATTATTCTCAAAGAGAACACCTCTTATCTTAGAGAATATTATTCTCCATTCCTTCAATAAATATATATTTTATCCATACTCTTTGATACACCATGGGTACAGAAATGAACAAAACAAAATACCAATGCTCATTGAATAGAATTATGGTTAACAATAATGTTTATTGCATATTTCCCATAGGCTAAGATCTTTGCATGCAGTTTCATTTGATTTTCATAACAGAACTATGAAATGGGGATATAATTAGCCCCAGTTTTATGCTAAAATATAATAGAACTAGAATTTGTATACCTTTTCATCCTAATAAGTGTGCATACTTTTGTCTTCCACCAACTTCATGTTGGGAAAAGAGCAAATTTTTGGATTTAGGCATACCTCATAGCTGTGAGATCTTTGGCAAGTCATTTTTCCTATCTAATTTTCATCTTTCTTCTGCACTTTGGGAATAATAATAAATACCACATAAACATGTTGCACAGAATTAGTGAAATAAAAACATAAAGTATTTATGAATGTGCATGGCCTACAGCATACACCATAATACCTACTACTGACTCCTGATTATACTATCATAAATGACAGCTAGTTCAGTGGGAAAAATATTTAACCAAATTCTAAATAACTGACTCACTGGGATAATAAGGTTCATTCAAAATACTTTTAAAGACAAATATGCTATTGATTAATAAGAAATTATTTCTGACTGAATGTTAGAACTTCCTATTAATCAGTAAACATTCTTAAATCTGTTACATCAGTACAATATTTTCTATAAAAAATGCTGCTTACTAATTCAAATGGATGCTTAAAACTTAAAATTATTTACAATTTTTTCTTGAATTCTTTTCATATACTTTTAACCAATGAGAATTAATCAGTGAAGTACAGTTTGGATTTATAATATCTTCTTATACTTTTCTAAATTTTAAAATTTTCTGAACTATCTTAGGTAATTGTTATGAAATAAAAGCTAGTCAATACTTAATTTCAAAATCTAAAATTTTGTATTTTTCTATCTAAAAATGAATTCATGTAAGGGAATTATATGACTTTCCTGTGATTCACCCAGATGTTCTTCACCAAAGCAGGTGTTCTGACAGGTATAGAATTAATTCTGTTTCCCACCCCTTTTTAATTAAACTTATTGGGGTCGCATTGATTAATAAAATTATATAGATTTCAAGTGTACAATTCAATAATATGTCATATGTATATTGCATTGTGTGTTCACTACCCAAAGTCGAATCTCCTTCCATTGCCACATATTTGACCCCCTTTCTCTCTATCTAGCTCTCCCCACTTCCCCTTTTCCCTCTGGTAATCACTAAACTGTTGTCTGTGTCTATGAGTTTTTGTCTTTTTCATTGGTTGCTTTCAGTTTTATATCCCATATATTAGTGAAGCCATATCGTTCTCAACTTTCTATCTGACTTACATTGCTTAGCAAGATAATCTCGTGATTCATCCATGTTGTCACAAATGGCAGTATTTCATCTTATGACTAATATTCCATTGTATATATGTACCACATCTTCTTTATCCAATCATTATTGAAGAACATTTTGATTGTTTCCATGTCTTAGCCTCTGTGAATAATGCTCCAATGAACATCAGGGTGCATATATCTTTATGAATAAATTTTTCAAATTTTTGAGGTAGATACCCAGAAGAGCGATTGCTGGGTCATACAGTAATTCTCTTCTTAATTTTTTGAGGAACCTTCATACTGTTTTCCATCGTGGCTATACCAGTTTACATTCCAACCAGCCGTATATGTGTTTCTTTTTCCCCATAACTTCTCCAATACTTGTCGTTACTTCTCTTATTGATAATAACCATTCTTACATATGTGAGGTGGTATCTCATTGTGGTTTTGATATTTTCATTTTGCTACTATCCAGTGAAGAGGAGTATCTTCTTATATGTCTGTTGGCCATTTGTATGAATAACTGGTTTTGTGACTTGGTGTGATGTTTCCATAAAGTAATGATCAGAAGAAAGTAATCTCTAAACATTCATTCTCTGACATTATTAAGTTTTATATATTTAAAGATTCTACTGCAAAGAAAATAATATTTCACATCCAGATTGTTCAGCTTTCTTTATTGAGTGATAACAATTTTTCTTTCAATGTTTTCTCTATTAATGAAGACATAAAAGTCAAATGGTCATCCTAAATTAATTAAATTATTCAATTCTTTGGTTTTATACCATATATTTTATACCTGATATATGTTTAAAATTGAAAAGCTTTTGCTTATTTCTCCAGGTAAAGCCAGTACTTAAACTGTCTTGTGATTATATTCCACTTATGACTAAATTATTTTCATAACACATTTTATTTTTAATTTTAAAATAGGAGATTACAAGAAGACAAGTAATATTCCCTTCTTTTATCCTGTTTTCCACCTCTCCTTAGATCCTTTATGCTTCTGGAAAGGTCTACATGATATTTTTTGTTGTAATAAGTTTTTGGTTTGCCTTTTATATGGCAAGTTTGTTCTTGGGCATAGTTGCTATGTCTTATGAAGAAGAAAAGCAGACTGCTGTTGAAAAAGCTAAGACTGAACCAAAATTTCATCACACTTTAAAAGAACTTCAAGAAGGAAACGAGGACACTGAGGTATAAATTTTTTTAAATGTTTCTTAGAATCACAGAGTTTGAGTTATCTTCTCAAGGTTTTGGAGTATATTGCCTTCTACTAGATGCTCAATATCTATGTTATATATGATAAGAAAATCAAATCTTTAGAATTTAGAATCTTTTCATTTAGAATCTTTAAATGATAAGAGGACTCACTTTTGCTACATAATGTTTCTTCCTGAGTTCACTATGGTAAGAATGACCAGCACCTTTTTTTTTTTTTTTTTAATGCAGAACACTTCTTTATTATAGCAATATATTAAACAAATATAACTTTAAATGTTCACAACCATACCAACTATTCATTGTCATAATGACTGATGTTATTCAGCTTATTCAAATTTGGGGAATAGCTTAGATAATTCTCGAAATTCACTAACCTTCATAAAAACATGGGATTGAGATGCATATACATGTTTTTGTTAAGAGTATATAAATTTTTACCCTCCTGACTTTATTCATAATCTCAACATTTTTACACATCCTGAGAGAGTTAACCAAACTCAAAGCCTTTTATTATTAAGAGAACCAGCACAGTTATATTTGCCAATGACAACAGCCTTAAGAGTTAATGAATACAGGTCAAGATGGCAGATGTGCCAGGCCTTTTCATGATGGAAATATGCAAACATGCTACAGCCTTTGTCCACAGGAGAAGGTGCCAGAACCTGGTGGAATAGATGAGGATGCCCACAACACCTGGGCAAGGGGTAATCACCACCATAAAAATAGCCATGGAGCCCAGTAGTGACTAGTGCTAATCAAGAGAGTGGCCAACATCTTTAAAGATTTCTTTAATATAAATACCATATGATTTCACTTATATGCGGAACAAAAAGAACGAACTAATCAAAAACAGACTCACAAATATAGTAGACAATTTGCTGTTAGACATAAGAGAGGGGCATAGGTGAGCTGGGAGAATGGGGTGAAGGGTTAAAGAAGTACAATTTAGTAGTTGATAGATGGCTAGGTGGAGGGCCAGGGGAGGGAGGGAGCAATTGGGGGATCGTTTTATGAACTATATAGATGTCTAACCAATGTACTGTATACTTGAAATTAATTAAAATAACAATTATTTTTTTAAAAAAGAACATAAGATAGTTCTCAGAACCATAATAATCAGATGTGTTTGAATTACATTCCAGTCCTATGAAGGGAGATGAAAGAAGCTTCTCTCTTTTACAATTACAGGCTCTCTGAGAACAAGGATCATGTTTTAGTCACTACCAATACCTAGCGCAATTCTTGGCATATCAGCAGCAGCTAATAACTGTGTGATCAATAAAATTAAATAAATGAATGAATTAGCATTAAAGCTATCACTAGAACAATATAACCTTATATAGTCAAGTCAGAAATAAATGTGTTTCTGAAAAGATGTGGGTATTCCAGTCATTGTTATATTGTATGAATCTCTAATAAATTTATTCATTCATTTACTTATTTTAAAAAAAGTTTCTTTAATATACACATTTTTTGTACAAAATGTGTAGTACTACTACTGATAAACTATGAATTTGTTTTTTTTTTTTTTCAAATTCGACTTTTCTTAATGCAGTTATAGTTTATTAATTTAAACGTGCTCTGGGCCGTACATCAGAATCAAATTTGGAAAATTTCGGTGTTCAATTCAGTGATAGTGCCTTCCATAATTTAGAAATTAAAAGTACTAACAGCATGGATGAAAGTATAGTACCGAAGTTGTAAAAAGAGGGGGGAAATCACTTTATTGGATTTCTAGCTCCTTCAAGAGGAAATGTACTATGCATCATGATAATAGGGAATTATTTTATCCATGGAATAATTAAATCCATGATTAGTAAAATATAAAAAATGTTTACTCTAATTTTCAATTATTTTAGAGTTATCTTCAAATATATTTTCAGAGCACAATACTTCTCTTATTTCAGGATGAGATGCCCTATTAACTCTGCTTAAGAACTTGGATTATTTCTCATTTTCCAGTATCTCTATTCACTCGGCTGCTCTGGATCACATAAAGCCTTTTTGATTTTAATTAATATCTTTCAATTATAAAGAATTTCTTTTCTTGGAAGAGTACTAGAACATTTTGTCATGCAAAGTTTTCTGAGAAATGAGAGTGAAAACCATTTTCACAGGATTTCATTTTTTATTTATACATAAGAAAACACTGCAGAGAGAACTTAAAATAGAACAAACCGAGGGCCCTTTAGGTGACTGATCTGAATGAAGATTAGTCAGATTCTAATTCCAATGTCGGTATCACAGAGAGAGCTCTTAGATGCTTCATATTCTCACATTATAGGAAAGCAATAGATTATATTGGCTAAAAGCACACTTTCACAGTCACATAAATATTAATTTTAGTCCATTTTATCCATTTAATGGATGTATATTTGCCAATTCTGTAAACCTTTCTGAACTTCAGCTTCTTCATCAGTAATGTATAAGTAACTATAGTATTTGCCTCAGAGGTTGTTGTAAGATTCAAATGAAATGAATTCATGTTAAGCACTTAAAACTTTTTAGAATATACTAAGCAAGTGAAAAATGTTGATGGCTAATTATAGGGAACACAAGAAGACAACCATAAGAAGACATAGCAGTCCATATGGAGAATACTTGATCAACATAAAATTTTTAAGTCTCTGACTATATTCTCCTCTTAAGGAAAAAAATAATAATAAATAATTCTTATTGAATAAATTCTTTTTGAGCATAAACTATGTGTTAAGCACATAAGTGCCTTCACGAATTCTCAAATTTAATCCTTATTGAGGAGTTTCAGTTTCAAAATTTAATCTGCATTTATTGGTATTTGATTTCTCAACACTGAAGAAGAGAATCTGGTGTTCACCACTTTACTTCGTTGTTTCAATGCTGAAACAATATTATTCCATCAATTACACTGTTTACAAGCAGCCCTTCCTATGAATTATTAGTTACTGACAAAACTTCAGGAAGAGACTCAGATATATTCAACTGTGGGATTACAAATATTTCAAATTATTTTCCTATCTGTACTGACATTCCTGTAGCTCATCTGTCTAATTAAATAAAACATTATTGATAATCTGTTATATGCTAAGCATTGTACTAATCAGTGGAGATAGAAAAACCTTTACAAATACTAATATAGTGTGTACATTCTTGAAGCTAATAATCTAATGGGAAGATAGACTATAAAATTATCATAAGCACAAAATTGTAACTTTAGAACCACTAGACATTATGTGTTTCCTGATGCTATAAAGTAGGAAACATAAAATACCACATACAATATATTCTTTTCAAAATCTAAGCTAGGTCTAATAAGCCTCTAGATCTAACTGTCTTTTGCCAGAGATTATAGGACAGAGAAGAAAACATTAAATTACACTAAATTAACAAAATCTGTCAAATAAAAAATATGGAAAATTCTACAGCATTGACCCAGTATCTTCAACAAATAAGTCACATAGGAAAATATTAAATCACAAGATAATCAATAGACATGCCAACTAAATACAATATGTAGATCTTATTTGTACTTTGATTGGAACAAATCAACTACAGTAGAATGTTTCTGAGCAATGAAAGAAAATTGATCATGGTCTGGGTAACAGATAATATTGAGGAATTATTAAGTTTGCTGATATTGATAATGATGTTGTGGTTATGTTTTTTAAAAAGCTTATTCTGTTAATTTTATGAAGCCTAATATTTCATTTAAAATCTTTCAGAAAAAAGTTTGGTGAGTAATACATGAAAAATAAAGAGTATAACGTTATTAATTGTTGAAGCTGAATATTGGGTTCCTGCTGGTTCACTGTATTACTCTCCACTAATAAAAAAAAAAACCTGTTGCAAGTTCTAAAAAAGAAATATGGTGCTTTAAGCCTATAATAAAGGATTTCTCTGAGTCAGAAAAGTTTATGAGGAACTGACACGAGCTGAGATCTGAGATACGGATTCGTGCTATGTGGGGGAGAAAACAGGGTGAGTCAGAGGATTAAAAAGGCCAATGTGACTGCAGTAGAGTCCAAGTCTGAGTCCAAGATAAACATTTCAGATATTTATTGGTAAATGCTAGGAATATGACTGGGTTCTTCCTTATTCATACCTCCCTCCAGAGAAAATTTAAACCAGTTATGAGAAAAATCCTCGTCCCTTTTTTCAGTCTAATTTAAACATTGGATGGTCTGAAATTCAGGCATATGCCCTTAGTATCTCTTAAAACTTCCAAAAAAGAGAATTACTGAGTGATGATCCTCTCAGTATGTATTGTAAATAGCTATATTCTTGGGAGTTGGCCCACTTGTGGGCATTCATTCAATATTTTTGAGAAGCTTAATTAAGGTAAATATATTACTAGACTCATATGTGGTTTGTTCATTTTATGTTCTAAAATATGTCTGTAGTTCAAGCCAAATTAGTAGGGAATTGAGCATTGCCTATATCACAATAACATTACTCTCCCCACTTTATCCCTCTACCTGCACACAGACAACTGGTCTTTGGTGTGATTCCATCAAACATTTTCACTATCAAAAAACAACTCTATGACAAGTAATTTCTCTATATTAAGAATATAATAGAGGATATCATTCATTATCACCAAAGTATCATATTTATGAAGATACACCTGAGAAATTCCTGTCATATCTTACTATCAGAAAAATTATATTTCTGTTGTTTTTTTATCTCATGGAAATTTAAAATTGTACAATTTATAACCTATGTTTTATGTAACCTTATAAGTCAGCTAAAAATAGTTTTTGAAATAAGCACGGTGTAGGTAAATAAATTAAATTCACATCCTGAGTTTTTAGCTTAGTTTTTGAATTGAAAAAAAAGAAAAAAGGTAGGAGAGAGAACAGAAATCTGAAGACCTGCAGAATCCGCTAATGGAACTCAGTATGTAATGCGATTGGTTTTCACCTCCTTTCGCTCCAGTATTTATGAAATTAGAGGGGATTCATTGGTACTGAGTGGGATGGATATGATTCCTTTCATGTCTGTTATCCCTCTTCAGATAGACTACAGCAGAACTTGCCAACCAGAGTGTGCTGCGTATGGGTTATCGGTGAGCCTCAACTACTAATTCCCTCAGTGTTAGGGGGCAGCATCCCGCATGTCAGTTACCTCTATCTAAAAGTAACCTCACCTATTTACCCCAAGTTAACAAATATATAAATATTCTTATTCTTTGTATGTGCCAAATGTGAAAAGTGTTAGAAACTCTAAGGTGTAATATCTACCCATTGTCAGTTTCTTAAGAGTTTAAATCTATATACAAATTGTACACATGGTTACTAGAAACATCTCAAGCTATACTTGTAATACTTATGAATGTATAGAACTTGTAACATCTACATTAAAGCCTAGGATTTTTGAGTGCCTTTCCAGTGCAAGGATTCTTTTTTACTCCTGTGTAGCCATATCAGCAAAACAGAAGTTCTCGTAAAACCATTACTCAAGAGACATGGAAGACAGAAAGAAATGATTCCTTTACGGAATTATCATATATGTTCTAACCAAAGCAATCTTTTTAAATTTATTCTGTTACCTGATATTCTTCAAGACTTATTTCATCATCACAATACCAAATCATTTTGATTTTGTCAAGAGAGTTTTCAAAGTTATAAAGTTAACATATTCATGAGGAAAAATTAGAGGAATGCTGTTATTATTCAGTAGCATGTTTGCCGACTGGATATTTCACAATAATCCTAAACTACACATTGAATTCTTTGCTGAATATGGGTAATACCACTGTCATTCTGTGATTATTCCTTTTATGGTTGACCTCATAGCATAAAACGATTTTGTTGATTTGCAAGTTATACATGCATAAGGTTTGAATAAGAACTGATTGAGGAAAATATAAAACTTGGCAAAAAAAAATACATATATATATAAAAAAAAAGAGAGAGAGCGAGAGAGAGAAAGAAAAGAAAAGCTTCTGGAGGTAAGAATCAGCATTTTTAAGATGGCTCTACAAAGGGAAGAAGTCAGTTTTAGACTCTAAATTTCTTTTTAGACCCAGACCACACAAATAGAAATGAAGAAAAGATCACCAGCTTTTATGATCACTTCTTCGAATATGTTGGATGATGCTACTGTCAGATATGGAGAAGGTAAAGTAAAAAATATTTAGACACTATGGAAGGTATTATTTATGAGATTTATTTTTAAAGAAATTCTGTAATTTCTTCAGAGTTTTAGATGATAATAACTAAAATTTGAGGAATAACATAAGAAATTAAGATGAACAGGTTATAAAAATTTCATAAGCATAGTGTTTAAAACATTGGAAAGGATTACCAAAGAATGCCAGTGAATTTTCTTTAATATTGAAAGTGAGATACAAGTGATAACTTATAAGTATAAATAAAGGTTGGAATACATAACATTAATATGTTAAAGTCCTTTCTATATTGACTCTGCTTTTTTAGCATATAGCCACTAACTCATTATCATGGACAATTTTGAAAGGCATTATTTTATAAAACAGATAAATCTAAAAATTATGAATTATAATACTCAACTATATTCCGTATTTTTTTTTCTCAAGAGGCACTCCAATGTTTTGCTTTTCTAATATACAATTTATTTCATTTTCATTTGTCTAACTTGGCAAGCATGAACAAAATAGAGGAAATTTACTTCGCTCTGCTTTTTATTAGTATAAAATATTTCTTTGCTAATCCCAAGTCAGAAGTCTAGTTTCAAACCTCTTTTTACATACAAAAGTAAAAATTTTCCATTAGTTAAACTTAAATGGACAATTTGCTTGTGTTTAACTTTTCTCTTCTTCTATCGCAGAACATAAAAAATCTCAGAAGAGATGCCCATTGTGTTGGTGCAGATTTGCTAAAACTTTCTTGATCTGGAATTGTTGTCCCTGCTGGTTAAAATTGAAAGAGTTTGTCCATGTGATTATAATGCACCCATTTACTGATCTGTTTCTCACCATATGCATAATTTTAAACATATATTTTTTGACCTTGGAATGTTATCCAATGAATGAAGAAACCATCAGTGTTCTCAGCATTGGAAACCTGGTAAGACATTATTCTACATTATTTTCATTTGCAATTTTAACTTTTTAAATCATCATTATCCCCATTATTTTATTTTATAACTCCAATATGTTGCAAATGCATTATATGAGTATTAGATGAAATATTGCTTTCATGCTTCCCCATTTCACCACTCTCAACCCTGCTTTGTAAATTTTCTTATCACTGAATCGGTTTATACCCAAAGTTTAAAGTTCCACATTTAAAGTTGGGATTCCTAGCCAGCGGCTTGGCAGTCAGGTTAAGTGGAAATTATTCACTTTTCCTTCCCAAGTATATACCTTCTTGGTTCCATAGCCCTGTAGATCAGAGAAAGGCAGAGGTGAAATGACAGACACATGTTTTTCACTGACATTTGATTCTGAATCCTGACTACAGCTGCACCTGCCCTCACCACCTGTCTTTGCCTTAGATTATAATCCAAACTCCAAAACTAAACAGATATTAGCAGAAGAACTGAGGAATGTGGCAGTGAAAAGTTTCAGTTTCTGTGCATGAGGGTTCTAATAGGGCTATTAGAATCATGTCTCATCCATATGTTTTTTTTTTTTTATTTAGGTTTTTATTGGAATTTTCACAGGAGAAATGATTTTTAAAATAATTGCCATGCATCCATATGGGTATTTCCAAGCAGGTTGGAACATTTTTGATAGCCTAATTGTGTTCCATGGTTTAGCAGAACTTTTTCTAGTGAATGTTCATGGAATGGCTTTTTCTCGATCCTTCAAGGTGGTAAGTAGAATCCAAGACCTAAATTTTATCTTATGAAAATTTATCTCAGTTTCCTCAGATATAAAATGGAAAGAATAGTAATACGTATATCATTCAGACATTGGGAGTTAAATGAATTAATACTATACCAGGAAAGAGTAAGCAGTCACAAATGCTGTTATTTGACCAAAGCATTAAAGGAAATAAGTCATATATGTAGTAAATATGAGATGTAATTCTAAGAAGCAGGGACAGGGGTACTGGGTCAGTTTTGAGGAACGAGATAATGAAGAAATCCAGAATGTCAATGTGTTACTAAGGAACTGGAATTGAGTATTTCTAAATGTAGAGTGGAAAACCTTGTATGAGATCAGTCAGGCCAGCAGAATATTATTTCGAAAATTGTTAAGTCAGAATCAGTATATATCTGCAATATAGGGTGATGGTAAGAATCAGAAAACTAGACATAGAAATAATGTTATTATAATGGTATTTATGGACATGTTAAATATTTGATAAGGAATTTATTGTTACATTCTGGTAACAAGTTGAAGGAATTTAGTAGGAATCAACAACTAAGTAGATTTGATCTTATCCAAATAATTCTTTAGAACCTTGTCTTAAATCCTCACACATAAACTTTTCTAATGAATGAAAGAAATATATACGAGATGTAGTTATCAAATTTATGGGTGAAATAAGGCTAGGAAATGCAGAAAAATGTTTAAAAAGATAGTATAAAAATATTTAAAAGCTAGGTACAGACTGAATATGAGATGATTAAATTTAACATGGATAAATGTACAGTCCTCTAGAGTCCAGGATGCCAAATATATACTAGAAAAAGTTAGAGAAGGTATAACACATATTAAAATGATGCATGGGTTTTAGATGACTAAGTTCAGTGTGATATGGTGGCTGAAATGTTAAGACGTCCTTGTGCTGTTATCGATGGAAATAAAAACTCTAGTGAAAAGAAGGGGAATATTCAGACTGAACCTAGAATGATGTATTCAGTCTTTGATATGTTACTTTAAAAGGGAAATACACAATAGAAACTTCAATAGAATTCAAGGGATCCTAAGAGGATTTTACAATATCATCTATATGTCAGAATGTGGGAAAATATCCAATGGATTGTGAAAGCAAAACAAAAATGATGCTTGCCCTACCAGATATTAAAGCATAAAACTAGATTAACTAGTATAATGTGGAGTGGAATTGACAGATCAATAGGGGAGAATATGTACAGGTTTAGTGTAAAAATTATAGAATATCTATGATGTAGTCAGAATTCTACTAAAATGAATTTTCAGTGGTTAGTAGTAACAATGCTTAAAACTGAATATTACGTTAAAGATTTTACAAGTGTATTTGTATAACGCTGATAAAAATTTTAAATATATGTCATAATAAATAGTAGCCAAGTTTTCTGTTGTTTCTTACTCTTATTTTTTTACATTGCTCTATTAGTTGCGAATTTTCAAGTTGGGGAAATATTGGCCAACATTTAAGATTCTGATGCTGACTCTTATTAACTCATTGGTGGCTCTGAGAAACTTGATCCTGCTGTTGTTCACATTCATGTTCTTTTCTGCTGTGGTCGGCATGAAGCTGTTTGGTTTGAGTTACAAAGAATGTGTTTGCAGCGTAGACAAAGACTGTCAACTCCCACGTTGGCACATGATGGACTTCTTCCACTCCTTTTTGAATGTGTTCCGGATTCTCTGTGGAGAGTGGATAGAGACTTTATGGGATTGCTTTAACGTAGCAGGCCAATTCAGTTGTATTCCTTTTTACATGATGGTCATTTTAATCGGAAACTTATTGGTAAGTAATCCATGCTTTTAAATTTTCCTTGATAATTTTCATGATGTGGTTTTATGGCATCCAGTGGTCTATAACTGTGCTGTCCAATATGGTGGCATCTAGCCAGGTCTGGCTATTGATCAGTTGAAATGTGGGCGGTCCAATTTGTGATGCACTCTAAGTATAAAAAACATCCACTGGATTTGAAGTCTTACTCCAAAAAATAATGTAAATTATTTTATTAATAATTTTTATATTGAATAAAACTTTAAAAATATTTTTATATATTTAGTAAAATAAAATATTTGCAAAATTAATTTTACTTGTTTTCATTTATGCTTTAAATGTGGCTACTGGAAAATTGCTGACGTGCATCATATTTCTATTGGATAGCACTGGTTTATAACCTTGGTACTCAAAGTAGTATTAGCATCATGTGTTAGTTATCAATGCAGACTCTCAGACCCTTGTCTCAGACCTATGGAAGCAGAGTCTATATATTAACAATATCCCCAAAAGATTTGTATGCTCATTACATTTTAAAAAACACTGAAAGATAACACTAGTTGTCAAACTTGGCTGCACATTGGAATTACCTGAGGAATTAATAAAAATATACTAATGCCTTGGATCCATTCCCAAAGGTTCTGATTTTATTGATATGTGGACATAGCCTGGTCATTAGGATTTTTTAGGAATTTGACTAAATTGTGTAGCAAAGTTAGAAAAACACTTGTCTATAAAATATTATATATTAACTAAGAGAGAAAGCTTTCACTTTTAAATTTCCAGTAATCGAAGCAGTGCTATACGAATTGAGTAAATAGTAGCTTTTACTTCTAAGAAAAAGGAATGGCTTATAAAAGAAAACTGTTCTTACAGGAAACAAAAAAGGACTCAATATTTGCTTTTTACTCATAAGTCATAGAGATTAAGTACATTTTCCAAAAGACTTTTTAAAAATTACAGGTTAGACTCCATCGTATTGGTGCCCTTCCTCATTGCTTATATTTCACCCTGGTCATAACCCCTGTCATACACTTATCAGATTGACATTACCTTTCATTGTTGATGTACTTGTCTCTTTTCCTTATTGAACTGTGAGCTCCATGATAAAGGGATCATGGCTCTTCTCTTTATCATCAAAGTCCAAAACAGTGCCCAACAAGTAAAAATATTTCATTATCCTCTGCCTGTGTAACTGTTAGTACATTTTCAACTCCATGTGACATTAAACATTATCCTAAATGGTTGAAACAAAATGAGCATATATATCAGCATACATAACTCAAAATATCAGAGATTTTACTTCAGTCATGGTGTGACACATGTTCAAACAAGATCGTTAGAGACGGTTCTTTGTATATTTCAGATCTATGTTTTTCTATGCCCCTTACTGTCTGTTAGCCTCTGTTTTATCAAGATGGCTACTGCAGTCTAAAGCTTTATGTCTTCACATATCAAGTCTAATAGAAAAGAAAATTTCTATTTCTTTTTTAGAAGCCAGCAAACTTCTCCTATTATCTAATTAGCTCTGAGTTACATGTCCATTTCTGAACTAATCTCTATTGCCCAGAGTGTAGAATACACTTATTATTTATTGCCCAGGGTGTGGAATATGTTAACTTATATTATTATGTTAAGCCACCCAGAGTCCTCTCTTAGAGATGGAGATGGTGTCAATCCAAACCTAAATCATACTACTAATGATGGGATAGCAATGATTTCCCACATGAAATGTAGGTTTCTATTCCCAAAGAAAGGGCTATGTCTGATGGCTGTTATAAACAACACACACACACACACGTGCACGTACCTCAGAAACAAATAAACAGGAATATTGAGGTAATTATGTAATTGCATTTTTGTTTCTTTGTTTTTGGACTCTACTTCTTATTTTTCTTATTCCTACTGATCAGAAATTTCAAGTCTATGGCAGAGAGATTTCAAGATAAAATGGAGTTACATGAACTTCCCTTTCCAATTGATTGGCCATCATCTTGCTTGGCTTCCTAAATTGTTTACACTTTATTCTTCCTCAACAGTCATCCAGCTGTGGGGCATCATGATAATAACACTAGAATAAATACAAAGGAAACATGAAAAGAGAGAATTTCTGAGTTTGTAGATTTTTTTCCCACATATTTCCAACTCATTGTACTAGAGCATTGTTATTTCACTCCAAAACGACAGTATTTGTATAAAAAGAAGATATTGATTATTTAAAATTTAATTTTATCTTATTCACACAGGAAAATTTCAACAGTGATTCAAAGCTTTAAGCAGAAACCTTAAAAAATCACCATATACAAAAGCAAGTATTTTAAGTGCCTTTTAAATAGTTCCATGCGTGTTAAGTTGTAGAAAAAATACAGAGTTCAGATCCAAGCAAACATAGGTTCCAATTTCAGTCCTATTATTTACTAATTAAGTGACTTTGTGAAAATTATACAGCCTCTTAAACTTTGACAATATCTAACAAGAGAATGAACATAACAATGATACATGCCTTAAAGGACTATTGTAATTTAAATAAAATTAGCTAGCACTGTATAAACAGTGCTTTTACTTTTTTTAAACTAGAAAATTGTAACTCTCGCATCTACAGAATTTTGTTAATTATTTAACATGATTTAGAAGTTTCAGTTAAGTACCTTCCAGGTAAAAATTGTTTTACCTATCATTTAAGTAATCGCATCAGATGAATTGTGATATCTGATTAAGCCAAAGAAGGATAGAAACATGAAAAGAAATAAAAAACAATACAAAATCCAGTTGCTTTTTAAAAATAAAAAAAATTGATTATAAATATATATGTTGTCACATATATATTTATATATTCCCAAATTAAATGTTTATATAAGATATAATTAGAACAATATTAAAATAGAAGACCCTTAATACATATTACATTTGTCGACTACTAATCAGAAAAATAATTACTCAGGTAAATCTTGCATCTTTTTTCTCTTCCGTACTACTTTATTTTTATATGAGTTGCTCTATTTTCACCCAACAGGTAGATATCTTTGAGGTAATGAAAGAGAGCAAATTTCAGGGGAGACTTTTAAATGTTTTGTTTTATATTCATTATTTCAACTTTTATCTCAACACAAAAGCAATAAATATGTGTTTTGAATCTTGTTATAACACTGTGATTGGAAGAAAGTTACCTTAAGTTTATATAATATAATTTATGTTTCCCCCTTCCTTCTTTATTAATGTTCATATTAGAAGAAGTAATCAAACCTCTATAACTTTGGTCATTTATACATCCTGTTTTTTCTTTTTAATTTTTTAAGAGACTGGGCTATTTCAATTCAGAGCACACTTGAACAAAACAATAGCATTTTACAGTATTTTAAAGTACTTTATACCACAGTTTCAGAGTATTTTGGACTTCATTTTCAGCGTTTTAACATTCTTGGTATATATGCATGTGTGCATGTGTATGTTTGTGTATGTCTATGATATAAGAAATCTTAGATTGAAAGCTCTTAAAAATACAATTGTAGCATAATTTTTCCTTGTCCAAATCCTGGCACAAAATCTATTTTTTCATTCATTCTTTAATTAATTTTTCAACAAACATTTATTTATCACTAACTTTTTGCCTAGGACTGTGCTAGTTGTCTACTTAATGGAAAATGTGGTTCCTGCTCATATGAAGCTTATATTCATGAAATTCCTACCTAATCCTTTTTCTTGTTTTTCACCCTGCCAAATACTTAACCAAATAAAGATGGCGGGGGGGGGGAAACAAACCAACTACCTTGAATTATAGTTAGTCTTGCCTTCTTACATCTTGACATTATTGTCCTTTGGGAATGATAGAGATGCTAATAGTATAGTTCCATAAGGGTCATGGAGGTCCTGGCCAGAGTAAGCTCTACTATCAAATGAGATGCTAGTGTGAAAACATAGTAATCTCTGGGCGTATTGTCTTTTGATAATTGTCTTTTCAATTTCATTTTTTGTCTTCTGAGATTCTGTCATTGGTTACAGAAAATATATATCAGTTAATCAAATAACTAGTTATTTATTTGATGACATTGATATCTATAATAATATTTTGGTTTTCCCATATGAGTCTTATTTGAACTTTCTCTGTTCTTAAGAGACATGAAGATCTTGGTATAAAGAAGTAAAAGTAATCAGTTAGGATTGAACGCTATATGGTGGATAGTTCATATTGTCAAGTGTGTATGTGCATGAGAAAGACAGTAATTATCAGAGTATCTGAGAACTTCATCTCTTCACGTAGATCAGAATTCTGAAAGAAGTTTTAACAAATGAGTTTTGGAGATCTTTATATACTTATTTTATTTTATGTACACATAAATTGTCGGTATAATTATTTTTAAGAGTAGATCTTAATGTATGAAGAAATCAGAAATACAAGCAGGAAAAAGTTATGTAAGTTATATGTATAGCAGGTCCTCAAATAATGTCATTTCACGTAACATCATTTCAGCCACTCTTGAGCCTGAACTGGAATAAGTGGGTTGGAAAATAGTTGTCTTACTTGTTTTTATTAATCTTTCTTAAATGTATGTATAGCTCACATTTATTTCAACGTTTAATATTAGAAGTGTTTTGGGCCTTTATTTAGAAATTTGGTGATGTTTTTGTGACAAGAACAATTCTGTAGGAACTTAGATCTTGTTTATATCAATTAGCCCATAGTAAAATTAGTTTCATTATATGTCATTTCATGTAAAGTCACAGCTTCTAAAAACCTATGGATAACAATGAGGATTAACTGTATATATATTCTTAAACATAATGTATGCCATTTAAATTTTGCCCTCTAAAAAATATATAAAGCATAAAGTAAATTAAATCTTAAAAAGCTCAAATATCTGGAGAGGAACTTCCATAATAGACAAAATGCTCAAGTTATTACTTTAAGTCTAAGATATTAATCAATATGAACCTCTAACACTAGAATCTAAAAATATCATTTATACTCTACAATTACAAACAAGATAAAAGCCTGATTCTCCAGAAACTGAACATGCCTGATCATATTTCTCAGTGATGGTAAAGGTCAAAATACACAACTTCTTGAGTTTAAATAACTTGCAAATCTTAGGAATGATTCCTCTATAACTCATCTCCTTCTTATGACCAAATTTATTACCACAAGTAGTCAATTAACGTACCCAATTCCCATGCTTGCATGTCTCAAGGATCACATGTGGGCTTCAGAACCAGGAATAGCTCTCTCCCCAGGAGATTCCTTATGGGTTTGCAGAACCTATGAAGATGTAATTACGTGTCTGCCTGTGAGAGGACTGAAGCGAAGTCAGCCACTGGGAGCAGCAATTTGTTTTCTCACCTTGAGAGAGGCAGCTTGGTTCAATGAAAGAAAACAAGCTTCCACATAAGACAGACTTAAGTTCAATCTCTGCAACCTTTGATATTTGACATCTGTTAACCTTGCCTTTTCATCTGTAAAAGAGAAACAAATATTTCATAGAATGTGTCTTTAAGATGAGTTCTGACTATGCAAACCCCTAGCAGAGCTCCTGACCCATTGTAGATAAGAACTGAATAGCCTAAATAGCATTATAGTTCATATACTGTTTTCAAATCCCAGGTTAGATTTTTTTTTTTAAGGATTTTTTTTTTTTATTGTTTAAAAGGAAACAAAAAATGAGATACACTTACTTTCATTTACTTCCTCATTTAGATATTTTACCTGTTTCTGGCTTTGGTGAGCTCATTTAGTTCATACAATTCTGCAACAACTGAAGAAAATGATGAAGCAAAAAATCTCCAGCATGCAGTGGCAAGGATTAAGAAAGCAGTAAATTGTGTGCTTTCTAAAATATTATGCAAAAAACAAAATCTTCCCAAGGAGAAAATGGACAATGTAAATGGTACATATGTTAAAGAGAATCTTTCTGACCATACCCTTTCTGAATTGAGCAACACCCAAGATTTCCTCAAGGATAAGGAAAAAAGCAGTGGCACAGAGAAAATCACAATGACGGAAAATGAAAGTCGATCACTTATTCCCAGCCCTAGTGTTTCTGAGACTGTACCAATTGCTTCAGGAGAGTCTGATATAGAAAATCTGGATAATAAGGAGATTCAGAGCAAGTCAGGCTATGGAAGCAGCAAAGAGGTAAGATGTTTCAATATCCTGATTATTTAGCGTTGACTTATGGCATTGTTTGTAAGAAAGTGAATCGGCACTCAAGTTCCAGAATTAGATCACCCATTCGGTCTTAGCAAAGCACTCCTTGTTCCTGATTTTATGATCCTGATCAAGTTACTTAAACTTTCTAAACTTCAGTTTCCTCATCTGTAAGTGAGGATAAAATTGTACCTATTTCTAAGGGAAGACAGAAGGATTAAGAACAATAGTTCAGTGGTGCATATAAAAATGCCCAGTATATAGTAAGCACTTAGTAAACATTAGATAATATAATCATAAATTTCTATAAATTAGTAAGCAAGCAGTGTGGAGTTATGAAAAATATACCAAAGAAAATTAAGTTTTCAGAATCAATGTGTATTACTGGAGAAATCACTGAACTCTCCTGAGCATATTTAAAATCTGAGATTGGACTAGAAGAGTGCTAAAATACTTTCTTGTTTGCTAAAATTCTAAGATTTTTATCAGTTTATTTCTGCAACATATATTATAACATAGATAATTGAGTTGGATTAAAAAGAATAAAGAAAAACCACTAGTTTGATTTGTAGTTTGTAGCTTTATAAACTCCTGAACAACAACAGCAACAAAAAAAATGAGAACACATTCAAAGAAGGGTACATGTCACTGTTGACTTATCTTCTAAAATGCATACCCTACTGGTTACAGTCTTAGTGTCTTCATTTGAAAGCAGCATAATGTCTAGTAGGAGGTGTAATTTAATAGAAAGGTACATCTATACATATCACATCAGCGCTGTGGGCTTCTTGCATTGAACCTCACTAAGGACTCAGATCATTCGTAGGCACTGGGGAGGGCAGAGAATGTCTCTCTCTGGGTCCTCAAAATCTCTGGCACATCATGTCTCCCATGGGTATTTTGGATGTTGATCTAATACCAAAAACTAAAGAATAAAATATAAAAATTACAGGTGAAAAAAATCACATATGATCTGATAATTCAGAGACACATACACTTGTTTCTTTGGTATTTAAACCTTTGGCCTTTTTTATTACTATATAAATTTTATGAAAATAACATCGAACTTTACACTGGATTTTGTAACTTTTTTCACAGTGAAGCAACATACCATGGTCACTTTCTCATGCCATTAAGTAATCTACTAAAATAAATTATTTATAATTTTGCATCTTAATTGATTTATTTGTAAATTTAGAATAATACATAATAAAAGGAGGATGGAAAAATTACATCAAATTGTTTAGATGCAAAGATTTAAAAACCCTAAAAAAACATATAAATATAAGGTATGTAATTCTCAATTATTGAATGCCTAAACATTATATAATAATTATATAATATTCATTTTGTTGTCTCTTCCCAAATCAGTAGTGCTTTGCTATAGCCTTTAGTTTATCAGAAATAAAGAAAATTTAAGAGAAGTCGAAACAATGAAAACAATTTGTTTATTTAAGAGTAATATCCTCAATGTATATATATGCCTTACTGTTGAATTGTACACCTGAAACTTACTGGATTTCGTTAACCAATGTCACCATAATAAAAAATATTTTTTTAATTAAAAAAAGAGTAATATCCTGCTGCATATATTTTTTTAAAATCAAGCACCATAACATCTTACTGACAATTGACCATTAAGGTTTAAGCAAACGAAGCTGCCTAATTATATCTCCTTGACACTTATTGTACCTAAGACTATTAAGTAGGACAAAATAGTTATAATTTCCTTTTTTTTGTATGCTCTACTTTACCTAGATTTTCCTTAATTTTTAAGAAATCAGACTGGTTCTCTTCCAAATGTTTTAACACACATATCTTAATTTTTAAAATTAGAAAATAATTTTTTATTCTACTATCTTTAGGATCTTGATCGTATTAAAGGATGATATGTTGTATATTCATTTTTAAATGACAAATAAGATAAAATAAATTATTGCGAGAAAATCATTTAAAGTAAAGGCCAAGCGTGTCACTTGCTTTATTACCACATGTACGAAGTCATGACTACCTTATCCTAGCTGGTCTTGAACTTCAGTCAAGAGTAGGGTGGGAAAAAAATGTCAGTATCTGCAACTAGCCTCTTTCATAGGATTCATATCACTTTTCAGGTCTATTCTTAACACTATTCCTTGTTCCATTCCTTCATTTCACTTCAGGATAACCTTACATCAGTCTTGCCCTATGAAAACATATAAAAAAAATATCTGGACTGGATTTTACAATAAACACTAAGTACACTCTTGTCTACTGATCTTTAGCATCAGAGTGATTTTTTGCTGATACTTCTCATCTAATTGAAATAGCATATATAGGAACCTTGTGAATAACTTTAAGAAAGCTTTTGGAACTCAAATCCTTTTGGAAATTGGAGATAGACTATACATCTTTTGAGAGAACAGTGCTATTAACTAAATATCAATTTTAATCAAAATTATCTTAGCTTAAATTAATTTTTAAAATAATTTTTTAAAGCTTAACTCACAAAGATATGTATTCATGTTAATGTCAACCATGAAATTGGCCTAAAGTCTTTTAAACCTGCTAACAATTTTTATGTATATAATGTCTTTTTATTTCTGTAAGTGAAATAAACTTTAACTACAGTGAGTAAATGAAATTTTATTCACATTTTTGATGGGACTTGACTTTTCAGAAAGTAAAGCCATCTAGCTCATCTGAATGCAGTACAGTTGATATTGCTATCTCTGAAGAAGAAGAAATGATCTATGAACGTGAAAAGCATCCTAAAAATGGTAAGGAAACTTTCCTTTGATCATTATATTGAAATTAGACTAAATTTCTCTTAACCTAAATAATACTATTGGATATATTTTTCATTTTTTAGAGAGTTTATTAATTTGCCTAAGGACTACACACACACATGCACACATGCCCACATGAATCCTGATATAAACTTACAATAAGTGTCAAGTAAAAAGTTGACATTTGGAAAAAAAATAAAAAGGCTTCTTTCCTAGAGAATCTAATATAGTAGTTAAGAGTGTTAAGAGTGTTGGCTCTGGGATCAGACAAGCTGGGTTCAAATCTCAGTCCACCACTTACTACTTTTTAGTTACCCTCTCTGACTCATCTTCTAATTTGTGAAATGAAGATAATGATAAAATTTACCTTTAGGTATTATTAAAAAGATTAAATTAGGGTATGTGTGTATGCATGTATATGTGTATTTTTATGCTTTATGGAATGAAGTCAATTTTTAAATACGCATATGAAAACATCCTGTAATTGTCATAGTAAAACAAATCATGTAATGGTGATATATTTTTACATTCCACATAAATAGTAAGAAATCTATAAGGCTTCAATTGGTTGGCTCACTAGATACGTAACATATAAACTAATTAAAATTAATTAAAGTTAGTTTCCTAGCAAGATTAACAAATGACTACAAGGCTCTGGACATTTGAAATCACTGGAAAACATCAAAATAGAAACTGCTAAATGCTCAAATTCCTATATTCAAAGTAAGAATCTGCTCTTAGTAGATTGGATTCTAGACTGGATTCTGGGACTTGTGTCATCTAAGACAAGGGAAGAAACATTTCCTATATGTATATATTTTTTTTATCAAAAATGTATAAGTTGACGTTAGGTAAAATTCTAAAATAAAAAGAGTTGACTTTAAACTCCACCCACTTCATTTCTTTATTTTCTTACCTGCTAATCACTCCTTTCTCCTTAGGTTTTCCTTATGCTAACTTTCTTAACCAGAAGGTAGAGTTCAAAATCATTCACAGGTACCTTACCCACAACATACTCCATAATCCAGGTTAGCTCCTTAGATGGTCTCTATCAAAATTCCCATTCCTATGCCACACAGGAACTGAAGTTAATTTAACTGACTTACTGATATTATACCTCTCAGCATTTTATAAATATTTGTGTATTTAAATGTGAATGCTTGTTATGCCATGAAAATCTTCAGAGGATGAATTTTTAGGCATATTACCAAATGCAATATTCAGATGTTACATATGTGTGTATTTTTTTTTATAGGTATGGGGGATAAATTTTATTCTCAGACTCTGTCCCACAGGATTAGGGGATGTGCTCAGTCATTTCTACCTTTCACAATTTCTTTCCTCCTACTATTACCAAACTCACAAGTTAAGTTTTTCTTTGATCTTTTTCCTCAGTGAAGCAGTGGTCAGTACAGCAGGAGTAAAAATCAAATGTTTGCAAGTTAGAGATCACCTGTGTTAGACTCCGTAAATAAATAATTGCTAAAGCACACGATAGAAAGTTTGAGATGTTTACTGTTTCACAAGTTTTCAAAAATTTTCTTATCTGTTTCATTCTCGGCAGGTTATAGACGAAGATCTTCACCAGGTCAAATCAGTAGAGAATCTAAGAGAGGAAAAATGTGGCAAAACATAAGGAAAACCTGCTGCAAGATAGTTGAAAACAATTTTTTTAAGTTTTTCATTGGCCTTGTCACTCTGCTCAGCACAAGTGCTCTGGTAAGTGAAAGTATGTGACTTTTATGGGAAAAATGTATCTGTTAACTTATAAAGTCACCATGCCAAATTACTTTTCCCTAGAATACTTATTATAGCACCAAAGTTTATATTTTATGATTTTAGTTTTGGAAGATATACATTACAGTTTCTTTAGATCTATGTATGCCTCATTCGATAGTAAATAATAATACAATTTCAAAATATATAAATGACAGTGGTGGAAAGGAATGTTAATAGATACCTAATTCTTTTTATTTAATAAAGTTTCATATAAGAACCAAAATTTTAGAATGTGCATATGCAAAACTATTACATTGTGCCAGTACTTTGATACCTATTCAGTAAGGAAAGATAAGTGTTGCCTATAGTTTTAAGGACCTTTGATCTATAAATATAGTTACCCATTGACTCAACAATCTTAATTTTTGGAAATTATCCTACAAATATCTGAAAATGTATTAAATGCATTTACAACTAGAGACTTTTTGTATTAGCAAAAGATTGAAAAGCAAAAATAGTCCATAATACGTGACTATTTATACTATAGTACAATCATCCAATAGGATACTGTGCAGTTATTTAAAAAACATAGAAAATGTATGAATGCTGATATTGCAAAATATGGTTATAAGAAAAAAAGAAAGATCTAGAATAAAGTGTATGACATGCTACATTTTATGTAGGAAAGGAAGAAAAATATTTATTATTTGCTTGACTTTGAAGAAGGTCAGAGTAGGATAAAGAAATAGTTAATTATGAGATGCACGGAACAGAGAAAATGGAGTTGTGGTTAGGAACCAGACTTTGTACTGTATATATTTTTAAGTAAACTTTATATTCACATTTATTACACATTCTGAACACCATACAAATTATAAGCATATAATATAAAGGTTTTTCAAAGAGTGAATGCACCTGTGTAATTGTTACTTAGTTTGAGAAATAGAACATTACCAGGAATTCAGAACCATAGTTGGACCAATTATACTTCCCTCCCACTCTATGTGGGTAGCCAGTATGTGCAATTCAACTGCCATAAATTGATTTTGCTTATTATTTAAAAAAAAATTAAAATGGAGACTTCTGGCATATTTTTATATTATTTTATATTATATACCTATTCAAAAAATAAATACATGTAATAAAATAAATTTTTCTATAATAACTCTAGATGATATTTATAATTTGTTTTTACAGACACTTTTACTCCATAATTGATTGGTTCAATTAAGTCAGTAACTCTATTGCTATTTTATGTTTACTTTTATTTAACAGTAGATTTATACAAATCACTCCATTTTTTACGTATGATTATTTTAGTCTTTGTTTACTTTTTGACCTTGAATGTACTTCGGTACACATGTACCTGAGATTATTGGTACTTTTTTGTCTTTTTTCAGCGCTAAAATAAAAGCACTATGAAATTGCTTTGAACGGTATTATCAGACTTTGCATCCTCCACAGTGAAATTTAGACCTACCAAAACTGAGAAGCTTTGGAGAAACTAACAGTTTTATTCATATTCATGTTTTTCCACTAGTTTACCTGATTATTTCAGCAATGGAACAAGCTTTGTGATGTTTTCTTATAATAGCAGTATGGATTGGTAAAAACATTTTTTTTAAATCTCTGCTTCATTATTAGCAAGTGACATATATTTGTGAGCTGACTATGTGAGATAAGAGATAAGAGCCCTGTCGGATATGACCAAAGGTTCTGTCTCTTATGTTGTTTCTTTAACTGATTTGAGAGAGGCTTTTTGGATCACTATTTAGAACAATTATGAGACCAAGTCCAGTCTCTATAAGAAGTGGTTCTGGAATCAATTAATGATGTCTACTACAGGTATGGGATCAGAAAATGGTACTTATGGATTATGTGAATAAATTCAAGCAAAGTGAATCAGCCCTTGAGACTATGACCTATGACTTTGCTTACCATCTGCTTATTAGAGATGGCCAATTCCATTTCCCTCTATGCCAAAAGACTTTTTTGGAAATTACATGTACACTAATCCTTAAATTTTACCCACAGGCTTTTGAAGATATATATATCGATCAAAGAAAGACTATTAAAATCTTATTAGAATATGCTGACATGATCTTCACTTACATCTTCATTCTGGAAATGCTTCTAAAGTGGATGGCATATGGTTTTAAAGCCTATTTCACTAATGGCTGGTACAGGCTAGACTTCATGGTTGTTATTGTACGTATTTTAAAGAAACAATGTAAAAGCTGTTTGATTTGCTCTCTCTTCTTTACTCTTACTCTTACTCTTCCATTTACCTATATCTTCCTTTTTTCTGTCTCTATACATTTTTTTAGTTACCAACATCTCATATTTCTTCATTTGTAATATTTAATATTTTTTTCTTTTCATTCTAAAATTTTAAAAGTTTAGTACTTCATTCCTGGATTATTCTAATTGTCCACCTATGCACCCACTACTAGCAGAATAGGTTTGTTGCACAATATCTTGAATATATCAGCTTCCTAAAATATTTAAATCCTGTTTGCTCAACTTTTAAATTATATATTCAAAATCAGACTACTTCTCATTACTTTCACCAATACCACACTAATCCCAGCTACCAAAAATTCTCATTGGGATCACTGAAGTACTTTCCAGATTGATATCCTTGCTTCCACTACCACACACTTTCATTCTATTCTTGACATAGCAACCACGTATATTCTACTATTACGAAATGGAAGTCAGCTCAAATCACTTCTTTTCTTGAAAATCTTCAATAAGCACCCCATCTCACTCAGATTAAAAGCTACAGTCTGCAGTCAAAAGCCTACAAGTCTCTATATGATTCAATCTTATCTCCTATTACTCTCTCTTTCCTCCATCCTGGTCTATGTACTGCACCACCAGCACTGGCCTTCTTGAAGCTTTATAATGCCAAGATTACTTCCATCTTAGTGCCTTTGTACATATTCATCCATCCACCTGGAGATTTGCTGACTCACCTCTTTCTGTCTGCTTAAATAAAACTGTCGAAGTTAGGTCTTTCCATACTTCCCTATTAAAAACTGCACTACTCCAGTATGCCCTTTTTCCTTTCTCTGCTTTCTTCATCTTCGTAGCACCTACTAATATTATATAATTTACTCATTGATTTTGCTTATTGTTTGTCTTCTCCCACTGAAAAATAAACCCCATTAGGGAAGAATGTTTTTCTCAACTTGATTCTCTCCTTATCCCCTGTTCCTGAAATAATTCATATCACATAGTAGGCACTCAATAATTATGCTGAATGAAAAAATGGCTCCTTATTTTATAAGCAATGATTGAAGCATCTCAGTCTATAAATAATGACTTAAAATATGGGACCTATATCTTCTAAATTAATTCTTGCAAATTAAACTTCTACTCCAAACAAACCTGCAACCTACCTTCCTGTTTCTTGGTCATTGTTCTTATGTGTCCACATCCCTCCATGCTTAACATATGATATCCTTACTTCAAAACCAACTTCAAGACCATCTCTTTAATGTAGAGTAAAAAAGAACAAAGTTTTCATTTATGTTGCCTTGTAAATACAGAAAAGATGAAGGTACAATAAAAATTAATCAAAACTCTACCGCCTTGCTCAATTTATAAACCTTGAATCATTTTTGTTCATATATGTTTACTTTACAAAATCACCTTAGTATCTCTCTATACTTTTTTTTGTAATCTATACTTAGACAATATTTAATCTAATTTTTATTTTAATCTAATTTCAAACTAAGAATGGATGTAATATTAATCTTTAATTATGAAGATTATAGAATATATAAATTTTTTTAGGACATTACCAAAAATATTTTTTATCCTTTTAAAGTTATTTTAACACAGAATGATTCTCTTATAACTTTCTGTAAATCATTGTTAATAAATATTGAAATATATATTAAATCTTTTGCATATTTTTTGGTAGTCTTTCACTTTGTAGTTTTTGTAATAAATGCAAAGTTTGTTTTACAGATTGTTTTGGTTAAAGTTAAGATTAAATCCTATTAATTTTTTTTTTTATATATATATCTAGGTGTTTTGTCTTAGTTTAATGGGCAAATCTCGGGAAGAACTAAAACCACTTATTTCCATTAAATTTCTTCGGGCCCTCAGAGTTCTATCTCAATTTGAAAGAATGAAGGTAAGAGAAAAGTTTTTAAATTAATCTAAAAGTTTTTATTTAGAATAACTAAATTTCCACAAATTAAAAGTTTTGTAATCTCATTTGTATCTTTAACAATGTTAATACAAAAACCTTATATTCTACTGCTCAATAATATAGAAGAAAGATATATTAGCTATGCTTATTAAGATTTTAGGTCTTTATTGCTCATAAGATATGAAAACTAATAAAGATAAGCAAAAAAAACCCTAATAGTTGAGAGAAAATATATTTTCAAAAGTACTATCTGTCTAACCCACAGGATATATATGAATATTAATGAATTATCTCAATATTAAAAATATAACTGACAAAAAATAAAACTTTGGCTATCTAACTGTTTAAAATTATAATAATACACAATAAGTAGTTATTTACTGAATAAAAGTTTGCATTTTAAAATAAATTCACTTTTTTAAAGTCATACTTCACAGATTGTGAATTCTTACCAGTTTTCTCTCCCTCATTCCTATGTCAAAAACTCTGAACTATGTGAGATAAACTAATAGGTTGAACCACATAAAATAGCCAATGTTCAATCTTTTGGTCCTGTAATGGAAATCTCATGTGGCTCAACCAATACAAAATAAAAGAATTCATGACCACCATAAATAGTATCATTATGTAGGTAAACACAGATCAATTATGTACAGAAATAGCAGAAAAAGTCTAATTTTACCTTTTGTTTTATAACTATACATTTGTTTTCTTACATTTTTCATTTACATATATCATTTAACATAAGCCAGCCTGTTCAATTAATACTACATGTCACATTTTCAATTTAAGTAGGATCAAATAAGAAAATTATTTATGTTTATACTGTATTATTTTTATAGTTTGTACATTATATGTTATATTTAAACTGCCATTTATTAAGACATCATAACATTTAAACTCTTTTCACTTGGTGAAAAATTGGATACTTGTTTTTATCTCAGAACATGAGCAACTGTCATAAATCCAAACAGAATAATAAGTAATTTAAAATATGAATTTAACCAAAAATATATTGCATAAGTTTTAATAGTATTATTTTTATATCATATATGTGCATATATATACATATGTAACTGTATTAAGTACATTAATTATATTTTAATATATGTGCAAGAACATGATTATTAATAATCTTTTAATAATTCATATGAATCTGTGGTTGACTTATTATGAAAGGATTTAAAACTAATTAACTTATTCCTCAAATGTATTTGATTTGTGATATTGGGGGAGAAATATTTTTACTGTAGCAAATATAGCAAAGTTCCAATTACGTATACCTAGAAAACAAATAAATAAAATATTAATTGTAATTTATATTATAACTTATGAAACATTTTATTAACAACATCATGAGGGCCCACAAGGTGGTACTATCCCCACTGGTTTACTTTTAAACCAAAATGAGAAGAAAATAAACTAGAAAGGAGAAAGTGGTTGAAGAGGGCTGTAAAATTGAGGTTAAAATAACAAAACAGATGAATTTCCAGCATAAATACAGATTTGCGAAAGGAAAATTTCATAGAACATTCTAGGACTATAAACTACACATGACCTGTTAACTCAAAACATGGGGAGAGATACAGATGGGGAGATGTTGGTCAAAGGGTATAAACTTTCATTTATAAGATGAATAAGTTCTGGGGATCTAATGTACAGTAAGGTAGCACGATGACTATGAACAGTTAATAATACTGAAGTGTATACTTGAAATTTTCTCAGAGAGTAGACCTTAAGTGTTTTTACCACCAAAAAATTTAAAAGGAACCATATGAGGTGATATATATGTTAATTAACTTGATTGTGGTAATCATTTTACAATATATACATATATTAAATCATTATTTTATACACCTTAAATATATACACTTTTTATTTGTCAATTATACTTCAATAAAGCTGGGAAACACATATGTGCACACATACATGATAGTGAATGTAACTAAAATAAGTTCTTCTTGTAGAACACATTATGGGATAGGACCAGAATTTTTTCCCTAATAAATTTAGATACACGGTATAGGGGGGAACAGGGAGAAAAATGCCCAAATCAGCAAATTATCTGCCCCCAATTTAGAGAAAATTAGGAAGGTATTTGCCAGAGAAGCTGCCTCTGTTTGTCAGAATTTAAGCACTATACCATTTGATGCCATACTTTATTTAGAATGGCAATGAGACAGTAGCCATTGATAATCAAAGGACAGGTACATAATAGCCTTGTTTAGGTCAAGGTCAGGTCCAGATCTTAAGCTTCATCTCAACCTCTGGAGTTTTGTAGGCAAATGTTGCTATACCACTGAGTATATAAGGCAACAACATGACTACAAAATTAATATTTTATGTATTTAAAAAGCTTCAGGTCTTAGGTGTGCTTACTACTCAGATATTTGCGTCAACCATATCCATGGCTTTTATTCTTAAATATGTATATTTTCTAATAGGCATAACAGTTTTTTGATAGAGGCATCATCAATGGATCCCTCAAAATATCTAAAGTGTCAACAAAAGATCTGTGACTTAGTTTTGGAACTAAAATGTTGATGAAAACAGAAAAGTCAAAATATTAATTCAAGGCCAGAAAACTAAGGAATATAAGCAAGAAAATATAAGCAAAGGATACATGTATCCAGTAATGACTGAGAGAAGGATAGGTTAAAATGGTAGGAAAGAGAACAATGATGCCTCAGAAAGAAAGAAGTGAGGTTGGAGGGAGTCAAAAGTTCTGTAAATGCTACGTGAAAGATAAACAAATGGCAAAGATTGAGAATATTCTATTGGATATAGCAACTACTTTACATTTGCCAAAACAACATTAGTGGAATGATAAGAATAAAATTCTGATTTTTATATTAGAGAGTAAAGCGTGTTGAGAAAATGGGGGGATTGATTAGAGGCCATTGCTGTTATTCAAGTTTGGGTGGTGAATTCATTTCCAAAACTTCCTACTCTGGAGTGGTTCATGAGTGAGATAGTGTGGCTCAGGGAGGAGGTTTGTGATTTTGTAAGCACTGGGTGCCCATTCAGTGTTTCTTGAAACAGTCTCTTGCTTTGACTTCACTGATTTATAATCTCTTTGTCTTCTTTTATTTCCCTTGCCACTTCTTTACTTTAATGCCTTTGTGGGCTATTCCTCCTCAGGGTCAGATCCCCAACACTGAGGTCTGAGCCTATTTTGCTTTCATTTTATATGCTTTCTGGGTAATCTCATATATGTAAACATATTCAGTTATCTTGCCCATTTCTTGCACTATATAGGAAATTAATAAATGTGTTAAATCAGTGAAATATTTCTTTATTCTAGTATTTATACTAATTAGCTCTGTTGTCTTTCGATGATTTTTTTAGTGCAAACATTTTGAGAATGTCTGGAGTTTTAATGTATATTTTTAAATCAAAATTTATTATTTAGGTTATTCAAATACTAGCATATGGCCTATTAAATCTTTAGAGATGGCCTTTTAAAAAAATTTCAATGTAATATTACATTAATTAGTAATCTTAATTTAATCAAAATAGTTTCACATTTCTTACTTAAAATTTACATATTTGTTTCTTACATGCCAGGTGGTTGTGAGAGCTTTGATAAAAACAACTTTCCCCACTTTGAATGTGTTTCTGGTCTGCCTTGTGATCTGGCTGGCTTTTAGCATTGTGGGAGTACACTTATTTGCTGGCACGTTCTATGAATGCATTGACCCAACAAGTGGAGGAAGGTTTCCTATATATGAAGTCAGGAATAAGAGTCAATGTGAAAGTCTTGTCTTTAATGAATCTATGCCATGGGAGAATGCAAAACTAAACTTTGATAATGTTGGAAACGGTTTTCTTTCACTGCTTCAAGTAGTAAGTATGCTTTTGATTTTTAAAAATCTATTATATGGTTATCCATATTGTGTGTGAATGTAAAGGATAAAATGTGGTTGATTAATAGAGTTGGTTATAAATTATTTTAGCAATTATTAGTTAGTAGATACACGTTATGGGACGTATGTTCCTTTGGAGAGACAAAAGTGAAATACGGTTTCTGCTCTTTTTGGAGAAGTCGGAGGAAATGGCACGTACTGGTCAGATCCATTTCCATCACTGATCAGCTAATGTGGTCATAATTTTTGGCCAACTCAGGTTGCTAATGTTTTCTTTTCTACTTAGCGCTTTGAGGAATGGCTACTC